TGTTGATCTGTCGCAAATGGTAGAGTTTAGAAAAGGGATATTAAGTCCGAATTTCTGCCAAGGAAATTAATTCTGGTTGAAATAAGAGCATTTTGAAACTGTACTTTCAAACTCGAAAACGTTAGTACCCGAGAACAAAGAAATGTCTCCACAGGGATACAAATTTCAGTATGGATGTGGTAACAGAACGTGTCAGTACATAAAATCAACAAGTTTAAATGTACTGAAGACTCTGTTTTGCACTTTAAAAAATACATTTTTCATGTTCACTTTTCTTAGTCTTTGGTATTCTTTCTGACATTATTTGCGAGACTTAGACATGCCATACATTACTTAAATATTTCCTCTCGAAATGTTTCCGTATTAATAATGGAATTAAGCAAAAAAATGATTGTTAAATGTCAGCGTAACGCTGGGCGATGCTGCGTGGGTGTAGGTGACCGGTAAGGCACCTGTCCATGATATAGAGCTAATTAATGGTGGGCGTGAGACACTGCCGAAGGCGCCCAATTGATTCCAAGTGGAAGATGTAATAGGATTAAGCCCAAGGGAAATATTATTCAAATTGGAAACTAAAATGTGAAGAAGAGACATAATATTTTGTGTATGCAGCAGTTGACTTTGGTAAACTGCGAAGATCCTGAAATGTAAGTTAGGTATAATTTTGGTACCATTTGAAAATTTTATGATGTGGGTTTGAAATTGAAATGAAACAAACAACATTAGGCCCATACACAATAGCATTATCTTGTTTCAAATGTTTTAAGGTACTAAGAAACAAATATGAAATTATCATGACAAGTTAGTTACGAAAGTAATTAAAAAACATGTTTTTTGCAATTTCATATTATCGCAACCCTTAGCACGCCCACGCCTATTTCATGGCGTGGGCGTGCTAAGGGTTGCGCACGCATGGGGATTTCAATTATTACGTCACTGATTCAAGCAATTTATTTATCCGAGGTTATGCGTGATTTTGCTGCGCTTACTACTCGCAACCTCTGTGGAACAGACAGAGGCCATGTTAGCACAAAATCGGCTGTTGAAATTGGGCCCTGGTTAGTTGTAATGAACCCTACGAAAGATTTGCAGTTATTTTGTTCCTTCAATTAAACAAACGGAAAGAATGCACACAAAGAGCAAAATTAACTCCGTTGTGAAGTGAATTGAATACCTCGCCCAACAACTATTATTATGCAGTTCTTGGGGTTTTCTGTACTACGAATCGAGGCACATGACCACTGTGTAAACTCATGAGGCCCCCTTCGATGGAGAAACCATCCTGCATTCTATTGTACAGAACAACTGCCCCGTATAGGGTTATACGATACGAGCAAATGGCAGCACAATGCTTCCGCCATTGAGGGGGGCCTTCGTGATAGAATTGTTAGCGTGCTCGGATTTGTCAACAACCCTGTTCATTCTGTTTAACAGTTCGACACTGTCGACCTTACGCTATCATCGACGTTTCGATCAGTACACCGTGGTCTTCTTCAGTCAGGACGAATCGACCAGACCACACAATAATACTTCTCTACCTTGTAATTTCAATAACTTGTTCGTTTATACTTAACTGATTATTAAAACTTATATTTTATAATACATGTACATGGATTATACCAGTTGGGAATGGTGATTTCCTTTGGGGGGGGAGGGTTAGGTTCGAGAAAACCAAAGTGCATAATGTTTCTCGCATTGTTGTCCCGCTTACTCGACCTTTTTTTTTTTTTTTACAGAGAGAGACGATATTCTAGCAACCCCGCCGTTGCGCACAATTGAATTATATGATAAGTGTTTTGAACCGTCTGTGTTAAGTAACTCAATTTACACGCGCGGCGGGTGACAAATGGATACATTCTCCCCAACCCGACATACTTCACAGATCTACAACATTTTTTTTGAGGGCCCTCACTAAAACAATTGTAAGATTTGACTACAAAACATTCAAACTCGACTGGGAAGTTAGGGTCAGCCAAGTGAAGCGAAAACGGAGTCGAACAAATTTCTTTCTTGTGAGGGTTATTCATTTTAGTGTCTTGTCGAAGGCTTAAAAGGTCCTTAAAAACAAAATTCTGAGGAAATATTGTGTGCAACTTTCTACTCTTAAATGTATATAAACTATCCCTTTTAGTTAAGTTTATTTAATAATGCAAGCAACTCGATTTGGCCTAAGCAACTGGATTTCTAGTCTGTTCTCAAGAACTAGAGAAACTAGTCAGTGTTTTTTTAATCTAAAAGTGTAGCTTACGAGATCTGATAATCAAATCTCATAATCAAATGTTGGAGGTAGATAAAACAATTTCTAGATTTTTTTTTTTGGGGGGGGGGCGGGGGGGGGGAGGTCATGAGCCATTGCTTACAACGTTCATACACAAACCACAAGGACAGAACGGTTCGAGAAAATCCGATATCGCTAAGAAAATCACGACCTCAGGATGAACAAAACTGCGAAATCGCAAATTTGTCTTGTTATTCCCATTATTCCAACGTGGAGAAGTTTAATATAAAAAGTAAAGTGACAACCATTAGAGAATCTCTGTATTTAATGCAAAGTTTGTCTACCTTGCAAAGGCAAGACTTGTCATCAAGGTTTGGCCGATATCCCAGAAATTGCGGGAAACTGATGTTTGTTTCAGTCAATAAAATATTCGGCATAACTCGCGATAACATTGGCCGCCTTCCAACGTAATGTTTGCTTCGCTGTAACGCCAATCATTATATTGGCCAATTGGCAGATAGCCCAAACTTGGTGCGCATGCATTTTTCTGACTATCACATTGGTCATTGAAGCTTGTTGAAGGTTTGTAGCAGGAGCTGATGTAAGTCCCCTTTTCTATATCACAAGCCCCGCCCTCTGTTTTAGTTCCCCTTTTAGGTTGTTGTTGTTGTGCGTGTTAATGGTGCAAATCGAGGACACACGTGCAACATCATAGGTGAATCGAGGACAGAAACCGAATCGAGGACTCCTCGGTCGGAAAACGTGTACAAAACCAGTGAGAGCTGTTGCGAAAAAGAGTACAAACAAAGGAAAAGGGTAGAGGAACAAAAGAAAATCCTCGATTTACACCATAAACAAACGTGGGTGTGTTTGAGTTTGTTTCTGCATTCAGTAGGAGACATTGAACAATAGAGGACAATAGGGTCGCCAATTCCCGAAGGTCCCCGGTCACATTTTCTGTGAAAAAAGCAAATTGGATTAAAGGGAATATACATCATTTGCTTTTGCTGTAATTTTCAGAAATGGATGGGATTGGGGGGTTGGAAATATAAAGCAAATATAGTTACACTGACTTTTTGGAGGTTTGGGGTTCGAAAATGCTATAAAAACCAAGAAAAACGATCATTTTCCTGTAGTCTGGTTCCCTGACTCCATATAAGAAGAAACAGAGCAGTTTACATACATTGGGGAATTGTAAGGTCAGGGAACCAGTCTAGCTGGCTCGTACCCGTTCATAGGTTTGTAATCGATTGCAAACAAGTGCGATGGTCAATTGGGGCCAGTATTTGAAAAAAAGCCAGTTATTTCCAACGCTGATCGGCCGATCAGCGTTGGAAATTGATACAAAAATACCACTTTTCTTGAAAATGACAGTATACCAGGTGCCATAATTTTACAGGATGCTTTAGACTGTCATTTACCAACATCCTATTAAGGTATTTCGCAAAAACTTGGTAGTTTTATTTTTCGATGTTTGCAAATGTTGTATATTCCCTTTAATGTGATTTCACCAAAGATCCCCTAATTCTATCCGTTAAGCCTTAAGTCGCAACTAAGATTAACTAAGAATACTGAACTTTTCCACAAGTTTCGTTGTATTCTATGTGAACGTGTTACAGAAGACACTGCTTTCGGTGTGAAGACGCTTCTTAATTGACTGTATACACATGTACTTGTGTTTCTCCAGTTTTAAACCGAATTCGAGATTTAGGTCTACAGATGATGAAATTACAGGGCGACAAGTACCGCTGGGCGAGTAATTGACGCTACTCGTTGTTCTACTCGTGGTTTTTCATCTACTCAAGTACTCGTCCTGGGGCGAGTAGAAACAGGTACTCGCGAGTAGCAATCCAGGGTTTAGGGTTCACGGCTCAATATACGTCCCCTGCAAACAGGGAATCACTCCCTCCGCCTCTCTCTCCCTAGGATTCTATTCCCCCCCCCAAAAAAACAACAACAACAAAGGTCAAGTAAATACCCAAAACGTCGCACAGTCAGGATATCTCATTGCTGAAGAATGTGGTGTGACTTGCACACTATTTGCTTGTTACTTCACGTCACACTAACGTATATGTCATTTTTCTGCTTTTATGGAAATTCAGTTAACTACTCGCGAGTACTCAACTACTCGCGAGTACTCGACTACTCGCGAGTAATTTCCTTGCGAGTACTCGAATAGTAGTCGAAAAATCGACTACTCGCCCAGACCTATCGACAAGATAAGAGGGTGCATATATGACTTGAGACTCCTCGTAAATAAAACAGATCATATGATGAGGAAAGCATGCCTTAGGCTAGGAGGGATTTCCGCGATTTAGAAGAGAGAAGAGACGAGATCTTTAAATCCTCTTTGAATGGGGAATAACCTCCAACTGTATCAACGGGCCATTCATGTAGGTTGCATAAGTCTTGTTGGTTGTCCACACTATACATGAACTGCGGTGTTAAACCTTGTCGATTTTTTGCATTTCTTTGCGGGTATGGATGAAAAACAAGGCAATATGTGCACAAACCTAAGATTTAATGAACCAATCGATTTTGAAGATGAACAAAAACAACTAATCTTTGGATAGGTTCACTGTGCCATAGATTTGTGCGTAAATATTTCGTCATGTTATGCCAAGGATACTGGAGATAAACACAGACCTGACGAGCCGTGTAGGCTCGGGGCAGACTGTACTTGTACACGACAACTCGAAGATGCAATTACCGGAAGCAAACCAACTTTAAAAGAATTTTCTCGTGAATAAAATGCAACTGTTAAAACTGCTTTGCTAAACAGAGGAAGATGAGTGCAATGATGGACGGCATACTTGTGAAGAGAACGCAGTTTGTACGCAGACGAGACGCTCCTACAGGTGTGCATGCAAGAACGGATACAACAGGCAAGGCAGCTCATGTGTTGGTAAGTTCATGGAAGTAGTACGGGAGGTGTGGTTTGCACCCCTTTGGTAGTGGTGGTGGTGGCAAAGGGATTAGGTGGCGAAGGGGGTGGGGTGTCATAGACAGTGCACAAGCTGATTTGTTTTCGTTCGATGTGCTTGAATTAAAACCACAAAAAGCCCATTTAGATGGTCGTTACGAATGAGGTCTGCTACTGTTTGGTTTTTAACTCCCAAATCTACTTGTTTACCGCATTGACAATCCCCTCAATTGTTTGTAAAAAGCTATTAGGAATTCGAGGGGTAACAGGTAATTTTAATGTTGTGCCCTGCCTTCCATCCGGCGTGACCATGTTTTGAAAATCTAACCTGGTGCATTATGTGAAATCTTTACTCTCTGAGGTATTCCTCTGACATCCAAAACTGTATCTTCTATTGTCCAATTCTTAACATTGTGGAGTGTACGTAGGCAAACAAGCAGGCGATCAATCTAAAATGATGTCAACATCTAAATGATGCCTTTTTTGTTTACAGATGTGGATGAATGCAGCAGTAAAAATGGCGGTTGTGTGCACACGTGTACCAACATACCAGGAAGCTACTACTGCGGTTGTTTAGCGGGATTCCTCTTACATCCGGAGGGAAAAGATTGCATCGGTGAGTAACATAAATATTGTTAGCTATTTAAAAGAGAGGACAACAGAGGCACAATGGCTCCCTCTGCCGGCACAATAAACATGGTCACAAACAAGGATAAATCAATCAATTCGCTGTTCACGTTTTCATTTTCCAAAGGTTTAGCGTTCTGAAATCGGAGAGTTCAGCGTTTTGAAGTCGTTGATACACATACAGGTTGTGTAAAATAAAACGAAACCCAAATGACAGGACTAATTGTTGAATGAAGGTTTACCGGTAGCACTATCAAAATCTAAGATATGAAAGCCCAATCAATGAGCTTTCTTTTAGTACAAGAATCATTCGAATCACTCATGTACTTTTCAAGTTCACATGCATCTCTATTAGAATTATTTTTGTTTTGCTGAAAGAACTCTTACCTTTTTTGTGATCCGTGGATAGCACTTGAAAACGGTGTTTGTGTTAAAAATCCCGTAACTTAAAAAGTACATGAGTGACTTGAATGATTCTTGCACTAAAAGAAGGCTTAATAACTTTCATATCCTAGATTTTGAAAGTGCTACAGGCAAAACTTAATACACAAATGTGTCCTGTCCTTTGAGTTTCCTTTTTTTTTACTCACCCTGTAGAATGATGACCTCTGCAAAACTTGATGAAGTTAAGAGTATAATGAAACATTCTCAATCTGGGCTTTAATTTATCATTTATATTTTATTCGTATATACAATTGAAGTAAATAATATGGAGTCCTGCTCTGGACCGGAAAATGGTCAAAACCTTCACAAGGAAAATCTGTCTACAGATTCATATCTGTGATGTTTGATTACAAGTGCTTACATATATAGTAGTGTAAATTCAACATTGCAGTGTTTGTAATCTTTTGGCGAATTGGTATTCAGATCAAGATGAGTGTGCATCCGATCAACATGGCTGCCAACATGAATGCATCAACACTATTGGCAGTTACATGTGTACTTGCCCACAGAACTACTTTTTGAACGCAGATGGGATGACATGTTCGGGTAAGACTTCAACTTTTGGAATCAATTGTAGCAACATTTCTGTATGGTCAAACAACAATTTTTGTAAACGTAAACTGACCTTTATATAAAACAAACTACATTTTTGAATGTAAGCTGATGGGTTATATAACATTATAAAATAGTGACAAAAACCTCATGCAACTGTTGCATGATTACGGTGAAGGGTTTTGATTACAGATTTCAGTGATTTGTCAAAACGTTTCAAGAATAGTGGAACACAAAACTGTAAGGGAAAACGGAAAAGATCTGCTGTTTATTAAGCCTGTTACAACAGGATATTGATGTAAGAACATTTAGCCCTTTTAAGAAACTTTAGAAATGTTTCCATTCTTTCATCCAAAAACAAAATAGTTGTGGTTTTTCTACTTCTTAAGTGAAATCTGTGTAACTGTGCTTGCTCTCTTACTGTCCAGATCACCCGGGTTGTGGGAATGCCAACCTTGGCTGTGGTCACTACTGCGTGGACATCGCCAATGACCACTCGATATGCCAGTGCCGACCGGGTTTCATGCTTGCTGGTAATAAAAAGAACTGCATACGTAAGTAGGCAAGCGTAAACTGGAAAGAAGTGCAGTGGTTCTCTTGAGTAAAATATTATTCAATTTGTCTGGCAATGATGGTTGCATGGGGAGATCACTGCCAATTGAGACCGTGAAGGCGAATTTCGAAGTTACAAAAACGATGCACTTGAGATGCTGGAATTGAAAATTGTTATTTGATTTTTGACCAGGATTTGAGGCAGGCGCTATATACGGGGGACCCAAAAAATGCAACCATGAAACATTTGCCTTTTTTTCAAAAACGTGATCTGTGATTGTTTATGTTTTTGATATCAGATCATGTGTCATTGTCACCCTGTAGCGACATGAATGCATGCCAATGGTTAGTGCCATTGTGCCAACATTTTCTTTATTATACGTTCTCTGTTTTGTTCAGTTGCTTGAGCTCATGTATTGTTCCATTTTCAATGTTATGGTCGTCACTGATTGCCATTGCCAATGCCATTGTCACCTTACAGCGACCTGCATGCACGGTAATGGTGAGTGTCAACACATCTGCTCCGACTCGCCCATCGGTCCTCTCTGCAGCTGTCATGAAAAGTATAACCTGCACACGGACGGAAAGACTTGCGTAGGTAAGCCTATATGCACGGCTGTGGACTAGTTTGCTAGTCTACGCTTTGCCAGTTTGAGCTTTGTTATCGTAGAGTACGCCCTCTGTTGTTCTCAACCAAAGTGACAGGCAAAACGTGCACACAGTATGCAATTTCAAAGCTGTAAAATTGCCTGAATTTTTAACCTAATAGGTATAACGGTGTTTAAAGGCATTTTTTTCGAGTCATTCAATGAATAGTCTGTTATCACAGAAACAAAGAGATTTAATTATACGAGGTCTGCTTCGATAATTCCTTTTTTTGGCCTGCTGGTTTATAATTGAAATCAACAGAGGGCGTTCACAGAGTAAGCAAGACCCTCATCTACAGTATGCCTGGTAAGCAGATATATATGCTGAGCTGAAAAGTTACTAAATGTACCGCACGAATAACAAGCTATGAAATCGGTTTCTGGTTTCTCTAGCACCGAAGCATGGACAACACAATGCCTGCAGTTTCCTTTGGAAAACTAACTCAAAATACTGATTTAAATAAGTTTAACAGCAAACATGTAATCTTGTAAACATGTTATCTTGCGGGCAGCCATTAATTCTTATCACGTGATCAACTCCTACTACTGGAGTGAATTGAAAGCTGGGTCATGAATATAGTCTGGTGACTTCGACGAGAGTTGTAATATCTGTCATGCTATACGACAGAGAGCCTGACGCCAATATAACACAGATATCATGTCAGGCTGTTGCTGTTAATCATGCCAGCTGCACCGTGTATTTTACCAAATTCGCCAGGCTAGATGTTTGGCCAAAATGCAGAGCTCCTTTCCATTGCAAAAGCGTGTAGGCCTAAGATTCTATTAGAAAACAAACATTTAGAAATTGCACGTAGATCATTTCTTTCGTAGCAATTCTTGTAGTTCATAGTTTTAACAACGCAATCTTATTTTCCAGCACCTCCTCAACCGAGTGTCCCTCACACAAAAAAAATCGTGATTTGGGTGTTTCTCTTGCTGAATTAAGCCCTTGAATTAAGTTTGATCTCTGAAATCATGACGCAAGGTTAACTCTTTTCCTGTTAAGTAAAGTATTTCTATTCATATTTTAATCCCAACGCTTTGGTATGGAGAGGCGTACGAGGATACACATGACTTTACCCTATCAGGTAGTAACATCTTTTCAGTTTACGCTCGGGAATTTTTCAATTCTACTTTTTTTCCCCTGCTATACATAAACATTCTCATCATCCCCTTTGTTCTGATCTGAATCTTGAATTCTTAAATTCTATTTCCTGTCTGCAGCTTTGGTAAACTGAATGTATACGCACTTCTGTCTCGGACTTCTACATGTATATCGCCATCTACTTCAAATCCTGTGTATCCCCTCTTCGACCTCTTGATGGCGCTCTTTGCCTGTCTGCTCTTTGGGGGCGCCTTTCGATTTCAATTGACCTTTGACCGCCCCTTTCAAAATCTAGCATGCATGGCTGCTCTTCCTAACTCTTTTCCGAATGCATCATTTAGTATTTCTGAAGTTACCTGTCTGTATTTCAAATGCTCTTCAACCTGCACTGCGCTCGATTTTCGTTAATTTAATTTTGATTTATTTGCTGCATTGGTAGTTGCACCTTCTTTTATGCACCTACTAATTTGATATAGCCCATGCATGCAGTTGTTTGTTGTTCATTTCTCCAAAGTCAAACTCTTTGACAAATCAACTTTGCTAACTTTTATGATGAAAGTGAGGTTCTTACTATTGTGAAATAGCTGAAAATGGAAATGGAAGATTTTGTCGGTTTAGTATCCCGAAATTTGCATTTCATTGATTCAGACTGTGCAACGGATATCAGCATGGAGAATAGGTTATTATTTTGTGGTCTTATTGGTTATAACTTAATGAAGCGGCGATATGCAAAATACGATGAATATGTATCAGTCATAATAGGTGATGCTTTCTACCTAGAAACATGCGGCCTAAATAACGGTGGTTGCGATCGAGTTTGTTCCGACACGCCCACAGGAGTGCGCTGCAGCTGCCCGGACGGATTCGAACTGCAAGTAGACGGCAGAACGTGTAGAGGTCAGTGCAGTGATTCTTCATAGATAGGAGGAGCTTAGAACTCCGAGTAGATGTGCGAAGGTGTAGAGGTCAGTTGCATGATGTACAAAGTCGGAATGAAGAAGCTAGGTGCGACAGGAAGTAATCATAAAGCATAATGATTTGCATAATTGCATGTCGTTTTTATCAATCATGCATTTTTTTGAAAACAGAAAAGACAATTTTGAGAAGCGAAGGAAATGAACAGGCAAACGTTCTTTTTGTCTCCCACGTCTATACAATATGATGATTCTGGAGTGATAACCACAGTACATGGAAATAACTTTATACAGTGGAGCAATAGTAGATCAAAGATGACGTATTTTCTATAAATAGCCTTGCTTGGGAGATGGGTCGATTTTGAAGGTAGGGATAAAAAGAGAACTTGTGATGCATTACTTTCAAAATGGATGACTACATTTTGTATTTTGCATTTTCATACACAAAAGTATTTGTTTCGCAGAAGAAATTAGGAATAGAAAACTCAGTTATTTCATCGTAGTTTGGTGCACAATCTGAGATTTGGCTTCTGTGAGTGTTTATTTTTTGTTTTGGTTTCTTTGTTAGATATCGACGAGTGTGCGATGAACAACGGCGAGTGCGAGTATCGCTGTACCAACACGATCGGGGACTTTGAATGCAGCTGCCCCGGCGGATATAAGCTACTACGAGACGGCCGGTCTTGCGTGGGTATGCACACAACATGAACATATTATGTATTGTAGGGTTGGAGGCTATAAGCTTCTACATAAATTGCCACTATTGATGAGTACCCTCACTTCCAAAAACAATTCAGGAAAACACAGCTTTTAAGGCAGTTCGTCACACATCAAACTAAAGCTTGATTTGTCGTCTTTAACTTTCTCTGATCGTTTTATTTTTAAAGTGAAAGTGATACATTACTTTTGGGAAATATTTCCCTCCAAAAAGCATCCTTTAAAGGTGTAAATGTCAGTAGAATTTTCTAGATCTTCCCGGCATAGTAGTCTGATGGTCCTCTAGAAAACTGCTGTGCACTTGATTTTTTCCTGATTCATTTAAAGAAGTTTTCACACTTTTCATGTGATTTATATTATATTTTAATGCACGTTGTGTGGCTGGGTTTACGACCGGGCATCTGGATGTCGGCTATTCTATTTTATCTTTACCGTGAATAAAGGTCCAGAACAAATTGCTTTCACAAGCAGAAGGAGAATTTGATTGTTTCGTCGCACTTGATTCGAACTTCATCACAAGCTTGCCTTTGGGATATTCTGTTAAACAGGGCGAGTCAAAAAAAGCGGAACCAAAACCCCAAAAATTATATTTCATATTTAAAAAAATATGAAGCACCAAACATAATAATGATTGGAAAGCTGATTTCATTAGCTTCTTTTAGATGAAAAAATTATGACGAAAACAGAATGACCCTAAAACCTCTCTTTTTCCAAAAAGTGCAATTTCAGGAATCGTCTTCACAATTGTCTTCAAACATAACCAGCGATAAAACCTTAGTTTAAAAAATAAAAATATTCAACAAACTTCCTTTTGATGGCCCGTCTTTTAAAAAAAAGTGGATTTTATAAATCATATTGTTTGCCTAACCAGGGTTGTGAGTAAAGATATTGTGTACTACAGTAGTTGACAGTTGTTGAACTTGAAACAATTCGGTGTCATTTTATTTGTTGTTCCAAACAGTCGGAATACACAATAAACTGCTTTTATTGGACGAAACAGGTTTTAGGGTCATTGCGTTTAAATGGTGATTTTCTTTGTTGGATTGAGCAATTTCAGTAACTTTTTTCACCTAAAAGTAGCTTATGAAATTGGCTTTCCAGTCATTATTATGTTTGGTGCTACATAATGTTTTTAAAATATGAAATATATTTTTGGGGGGTTTGGGTTCCGCTTTTTTTGACTCGCCCTGTAGGATCGAAACGCCATGCTGTATTACAAGTATTAATTTTGTGTTCGAACGAATTTCAAACCGTATTGAGAATACCAATATAGGGTGGCCAAGTTGGAAATGCTTTTAAAGGTGTTGTTTCTCGCCAGATGTAGATGAATGCTCCGTTAACGCCACGTGTGACCACACTTGTCTTAACTACCCTGGGGGATTTCGCTGCTTATGCGATGACGGATACCAGGCGTATGGCATCACCCATTGTGGAGGTAACACCATAATTATGTGGGCTCTAATTAACGATCAAGCCTAGATTTTAAATACACTCAACCAAAAAGAAAGTCCCCCCTTGCAATACTTGTTTGTCTAACTCAAAAACTACTGAGCACCTTTAGCTCAAATAACGACTCATCATTGCAGAAATTCCTTAACAATCCAGCCAAACTCTTTATTTGGCCCCAAAACAGTGATAATGTGTACAAATTCATGCAATTTATGACAAATGATACCGAAAGCAGTTGCACTTTTGTATACGTGCAAGTTGTGGTTCACACTCACCTTGCACGTATACGAAAGTGCAATTTTGTTTCGGTACCATTTGTCATAAACTGCATCATTGTGTACACATTATCACTGTTTTGGGCCAAACAAAGAGTATGGCTGGATTGCTAAGGAATTTCTGTACTGATCAGTCTTAATTTGAGCAAGATGTGCCCAGTAGTTTTTGAGTTCGACAAAAAAGTATTGCGGGGGACTTTCTTTTTTGGTCGAGTGTTGTTGCTACATTTTGATTTGTAATTGTAACGAAATGAGATTCAAAACTTAAGTGGGGCTGAGAATTACTTAAAACTGAAATTACCACCGCCAGATTATGATGGTGATTTGGGTGACAATAATGTGACAGAGGTATGTGTGATGGTGATGATTTGGTGATTGAGATAAAAGAGGTGATTTGGATGATTCTCATGTTGATGAGTTCGAAAGGGTGGTGATGACTGTGATGATAATAGTAATTGTAAAAATGGTAGTGATGGTTAAATTAAGTAAAAATGGTGATGAAAATGGTAAAATGGGAAAACATTGATTGCGATGATAATGTTGCAATTGATTTTTGTGTTAATTGTGATGATTGTGATAATGGTGATTGTTCTGCTCATAGTTTTGACAATCATAAAATATTACAATGATTTAAGTCCCACCATTTTTGTCCCTTCTCAACGCCAGACATAGACGAGTGTTCCATCGATGCTGGTGGCTGCCAACACATGTGCAGAAACCTGCCCGGCACCTACGTGTGCGAATGCCAGCCTGGTTACCGTCTCCACCACAACAAGAAAGACTGCATTGGTGAGACAGGGATTCATACTTTCAGCAAGTGTAATGAGAAGTTACACTTCATTGTATTTCACTAGTGTAAATTTTACACAAAAAGTGTTATCAGTTTTCAAACGTTGGTGTCGACGTCGAGTACCTTAATTTTGTAATCTGCATGCGTGGTTTCAATTATGAAAACACTGTTTGTGTTACTGTTGGTGTCATATACGCACCGCGGTTCTTATAACACTAACAGTAACACTTTTTAAAATAATTTTTGAATTGTTTTATTTTTTTATGTTATTTATTATTTATTAGACGATTTTTCAGGCAAAGTACATGACATTTCAAATATATGACAAAAAGAGTAAATTCATGACATAAAAATAAAAGTCACAACAATGGAAATGAGCAAAAGGACGAGCTAAAAGGCTAAGATTCAAGAAATTAAAATACAAAAAAAGTAAAACCCAAAGCATTAAATAATTTCATATATAGGTCTGTAGGATTGTCAAAAAAAAACTTATTTTTTTTAAAAGCTTATCGAGAGGCTCTCCAACTATGACAGCACAATTGTTACACACTCAGTAACATGACACATAATCTACAGAAAAAAAGTACCACTAATAGACAGACAGACACAAGCATACAGAACACAACAAACAAGCAAACTAACAACAAAACAAACAATCAACAAAAAAGACAATCAAATTGTTAAATTCTTTACATTTCTTTCCTTCTTGGTTGTTTTCCAAATCAATTTGTAAAATTGTTCTGCTTCTTATTATCACGAAGAAAGTGTGGAACGAATTTGTTTTGAATTGAAGTAATACAAAATGTTTTATAATCGGTAGGAATAGTAGACTTGCAGCAGTGCGGTATTTACAATCGTAGTCCAATATTTCGTTTTCATATTCAAGCAGAGATATCTCGATGCGTGCCACTGCGCCCGCCTGCCCGGGCCATTCTGTCCTGCAGCACCAGTGACGACGAGGAGACTTGTTCGCTTAAGTGCGAGTCTAATTCTCACTTCACCTCGTCCGGACGGAGAGCCTACACCTACCGGTGCGGGGACAGTACCGAGTACCGGTGGACCAACGGGGTGAACGCCACGGAGCTACCGCTGCAAGAGGCGGACGAGGCGCTGCCGAGTTGCTCAGGTAAGAACCATCTTTGACCATGTATATTGTTTGACAGTTATTAAACACTAATTGATGGTGTCGGGAAAAACACCTGTGCCAATTTACACTTTTTCTGGTAATGAGTACGACGATGCCTTTGTCTATCGGTAACATGAACGAATCATGGAGTACACTGAAAAGTTGACGTTAGAATTTGCACCAATCAAATCGAGTTATATTTACACTACAGTCCCGTTTTAGTAAGCAAAGTGTCAGTATTTATACTGCCATGAAGTAGGAAATGATTATGTGCTGTTGCTGCACGCGTGTAGCTTTTCTACCTATCGTTAAAATTACTTATCTTACATGTCGTATTATAAACATCACACTACACTGCTGCTTCAAGATTCAATATTCAAATTTATGTTCAATCAAATACGAAATCAATTTCCTGGTGTAAACCAATAAAACAATAAAAACAGCAATTTACGGCATACGACAAAACCATGTGAGTATTTGCTTTGGTAAGTATAAAATTTTCATCTATCGCCTATTGTGAAAGAAAAAAAATCGTTGGTGAGAATTAATTTGTTGGTGTTAAGATGGCACTATTAATGTATATTACAATACCAAAGTAGAAAAAAAAAAACTATTAATACCAAGCGTTTACCAATACCATGATGTCACCAAGGCAACACTCACATTAAGTTATAATACGATCGGAAGTTTTGAAATTACGTAAATAAAAGAAAACCTATGTCTAAACTTCCGTGAGGACAATTTCGGCCAAGAAAGAATCTATTCATGAACTTCAACATTTTCAGCAAAACAGAATTCCCTGACTCCCGATCATCCCTGAAACAGAAGCTGCGAAATAGTCCGACTTATAGTGTTAAGGATTCTCTCAGTGTTTCAGGGAAGTACTTTTTTGTCTTCCGCCCCTAGCCTCAGTGAACGCACCGACGTACCACCACAAAGCCCGCTTCACCTTCACGGCGGAAGACTGTGAGTTACGCCGCTTCACGCGCTCCGAGTCCGTGGTATCGGATTTCCTAAGTAAGAAGTTATCAGGTACACCACACACGCTGCATCGCAAGTTGCTCGTATTTTTCTTTTCTACCATTTGCTTTACTAACACAAGTTATTAATACGCCATGTGGGAGGTTTCAGCAGTAGCACCTTTGACCCCTTTTTGTGAAGACCGGAAGTTGTCAGTGAAGCCATGTGTCGCGAGGCATTGTGGGACAGTTTTGCGCTGACGAATGGAGATTTATGTGATCTGCAAACTGTTCAACAATGAGGCGCAGCCTAGCACAGAGCAAGTTCGAACGCAAACTATAGTTGACCATAGTTGGACTAACTTCGCTCGAACAAAGGGTGATTGGACTACTCGATAGTCGACTATTTGGAATCGGGCCACATTACACGGATGCATCGCTGGTTACCAATAGCCGCGCGCATCATAAAGCATTGCAGGGAGCCAGGACCAAGACGTTTTTTTGATGACGTTTTGTCCATTGTTTGACTAGAGGCGTTCGCACGTTGCTAGTAGTGCGCAGGCGTACATGTGTAAGTTATCTCACGGATCGAACGCAAGTCGACTAATGGTTCCTGCCCGAACTTGCTCACAGTAGATCAATGAATTTCTGGTCTGCGGTATCCGTAAAAGGGTCTGTTGAACACTATATCGTTTGTGTTTTAGAGACAAACCAGTGGATACATATTTCGAACAGCGTGTAGCTGTGATCGTCCGGCACTTACGAAGACGATTAGTGCATATAGATTGGAACATTGAGTGGTCAACCCACCAGTTTTTTTCAGGACCTTTTACTAACCACTTAAAAAGAGATATCTTTCCATGGTTCTACCGCAAACCTTCCACACTTTATTTCTTATCATCATGCAAAGCATGAAATCTTACTTAAAATAAAGCCCTGCCATTGCCTGCCAACTTCTGCTGATGTTTCTTAAGCCTAGTTTCCATATCGACGTTAAGCTTACGCAGACTGCGCAGACAGATCGCGGAGCCGATCGGCAGAGTTGAACCGGTGCCGATCGTCTGCGAGGTAGTTTGCGTCTGTCTGGGTTGTTGACATTTCCGGATGAAATGTTGCCATATGTCTGCGTTGCAGTTTTGTTTGCGGTGCTCTCTGCGTTTCTTACCTTGATATGGAAACGCGGCTTTACTAATCTTTCCAGCTGCCGCCGTTATCGGTGAAAGTGCACATGAGTGTTCATGAGCAAGGCAATTTTCCTTAATTTGATCCCCTTAATCTCAGAATTCATTTTCCATGAAATATCTTCCATGACACCACAAAATGCATGGGTGTTATTTAGTTACATACGTTAATTTGGTAACCCATATGTTTAAACATACGTTCTAATTGTTTTGAAAGAAAAAATATCAGACAACAAAGTTGAAAAATTTCAAAGCTTTTAAACACTGTAACCGATGTAGCTTATCCCTATTAGCACGAAGTTTTACCACTCCTTCTTGTCATCTATAAATCTAGATACTTTCTGTTTCACCCCCTTTTTTTTAAAAACAAATTATGATGAAAACGGTGCTTTCAGTTGCAGGAAGCTAGTGATCTGTCCATTGAAAACATAATGTTCTTGGAAGCTGGTTAGGCCCTGGCTTTGAAGGATCCATGAGATGAATTTTTCTTAGGAACACGTTTTGTTCAACTTTCTACTTCTCTTATATATGAAAACTATTTGACACCTCTTTTTGGTGAATTTCATTTAAAAGTGTACTTTTTTTAAACATTTAAAAACGTTGTCATGCTTTTCCGGACAACTGAGGGTGCTGTTGCCGTGATGTCATTTCAGGAAGACACTGTTTAGTTTAGGGGTTTTCTGTTCAAATTGTGAACCTGGAAAATGTGCTCATTGAAAACATTTGTGAGGAATAAAAATGGTCATTGGCGTACTGCCATGTACTGACCCAACAACGAATCGCCAAAGACAAGAAAAATTACAACAGCAAAAATATCCAAATTTCTGGCAACTTTTGGTGCTGAAATAGCTGTAACATTGAGATTTATGCCTGAAATTACATCATGCATTTGCTCATTAACATGGAATTTCGCTTGAGCAATAACAAACCAAAAGGCACCAAATTACCCTTTAAAATGGCAAAACGAAAATTTAAAATATTGTTGAATGGGACACAGAGGTGCATTTTCTAGAATTGCATTGAAGAAAAATACATTGCATGGCCCTTTTTAAGAAATGAATTCATAAGTGAAATCATCATTATTTTTTAATTAAATGGTTTTCCGTTTGTCTGATCACGGTGCTATTTTCCTCTTGCTTATTCTATAAAGTTAAAGCTTGTACCGCCCGCACGTGCACATTGCATGGTACATGTAACAAGCTGAAGTGAGCCTGAAATCATGCCTGAAAAAAAGAAAAATAACACAATCTAATGTCAAAATGTATATTTATCAGATAACAGATTAGTGTTTATTTCAAAAATTCAATTTAATGGTATTAAAATATTGATCTTTAAACATATGTGACGAAAAAATGATTGCAAATGCATATTTTGCCTCTGGGATATGGTAGTTTAAAAATATCATGTGCCAAACCTGTTTCTCCACTGACGGCTTTTTTTTTTCGATCCACTTGACTGAGTTCCGGTGGACAACAGTGATATTGGTGACTTGTCTTCAATTAAGCATAGGCCAATAACACTATTCTTGCGATTTTTTTAAAAAAATTTTCCCCCACGTATATGGTTGAAGAGCTATACTTCAGTACATTATAAAAAAAACAGTTCAAATAAGTTAAGTAAGTAGGTTAAAATTCCTGTCAAAAGTCGGTTCCTTTCTTTTTGCACCATCCTGTATATATGCCCGATGTGCAGGGTTAATTATGATATAGTGCATTTAGCGTGACTTTCAACACGCATAATAATTAAGGAATTCACAAGCAGACACTCACTGCAGTAAATCAGCATTTAAAAGTTGTTAATGTACAAACGAAACACCTTTTGCGGTTACATTTTCTGGGAGGTTTTGATCTTTCCTTTCCCCACCCTCCGGTGCAGAGATTGACGCCGACGGCTGCAGCGGTCTTTGTGAGGTGAACTTCGTCAACTTGACCTGCCAGAGCGACGGTGCGAGGCGCGGCAAGCGACGGACGCGCAATCGCAGCTCCCTCATCTTTGCGGACTTTGAGATTGCCGTCAGGCCAGAGCCACCCACTGGTAAGTTGTATTAAAACCACTCAAGGTCATTGGCTACTAAAATGTAAGGATCAAAGATAAGTGCGAGGATCGCTTCCAATGACTTTCTTCCAACAAACTTACGAGTCGGCCATGTTAAATTGAAAGCGAGGTTAACTCTTCACCCCGGACCTAGGTGTTGCCATTTAGTTAATGTTTACTACTATGTATGTATTGTCAATTTGAATATATAACATTATGTATTATGTATCATCCTTATGCAGCATCGAAATAAATGTATCGAATGTTAATTGTTTGGAACTTGCGTGTTGAAATGAAAGCAACGAAAGAAACGCTCATTACAAATGTCAGGAATCTGCTCTTATGAAGAATTTAAATTTTGTGACTAAACATACCCTCGTGTTTTAAGTCACATTTGAAAACAAAATCGAAAGTGAGGCTTGGAACGCACTCCAATCTAAAATAGTCTGGCACCATCTCATTCAACAATTTAGAATTAATAAAATAGATTCAGAGAACACGATCAAAAATGGCTCTCTCGTGGATAAGGTCTATTGGTCAAGGAAGGGGTGATCAACACACATGTTGTAGCAATACCTCTTATATACAGCGCTTCCCAAAATACCCGCAATTGTTGTTGTTTTTGCAAAGGCTCTAGCGTCGGAGCGAAAACACGAACTGCCATTATTTTAATACCATTTTAAAGCTTGGAATCTTAACTTTATCCCTGGCGAGTATTGGTTTGATTTTTAAAAGAGTTTTAAAATTATTCGTGTTCAAATAAATTCATGTCGAAAACAGCCTCAACCGATTTCAAGGGAATCGATGATGCAGTACATCAGATACAAACTCGAGTCACACTTTGAGCGCGCTTTTTGAATAGGTACATACTTGCACGTGAATTTCAAAATTGAACTTGAAACGAAGAACAATATTGTGAATTCACAAAGACGTAGTCTACGTGTATCGAAAAGAATAGGAAACACAGAGAGTAACAGGCAACGAGATAGTCATATCACGAAAATGATGAACCATTTCCACATTAGTAAAAAATGCGCATGATTGATTTTCCTTGAAATCGTTTGAGTTTGTTTTTGACATGCCTTTAATTGAACACAGATCATTTCAAAACCCTTTTGAAAATCAAACAAAGTTAACATTTCAAGCTTTAAAATTAATGGCGGTACGTGTTTCCGCGGCGACGCTAGAACCTCGCAAATAAATGTTGCGGGTATTTTGGGACACGCTGTATACACGAAGAAACCACGAAGTGTAAAACTCGCAAGCTGCGAAAGTGGCATTCCTCCGTCGTTCTGTCAATCATACAAATCGTGTTATCTCATTTACCTTGTCCGCTGATCAGCCGACTGTGATGTGGACTGCGTGACGGCCAAGACGAAGAAGAAGATGCGCAAGACGATCCGGAAGCTGAAGTACGCCATCAACAAGGAGCATCTTGTGGTGACCTTCAACGAGAACACGGAGTACCGGGTCACTCGCAAATCCTTCCGGACGACATCGGACGTGGAGACGGCCTGCCAGCCCGGTCATGTCATGGTCAAAAACAAGTGTGGTGGGTCTTGGTTGAAATTTAGTTTCAAAGGTTGCGATAACAGGTTTCTCGGACGAAAAAGGTTAATGTGAATGTCAAGGGAAAATAGAAAATGTACGTTGATCTTACGTATCATTTGAGATAATATTGTCTAATTTTACTTAGCCCATGAGGTGTGATTTTCTTAAGTAAAACTATAAAAAGGTAATAAAAAAAACACTTAGTTTATATAATAAAATAAAAGTTAATTTGCAAGGAGTTCGTTTCACGGTGCTCTGTTGTTAGTAACTCATAAGACCTTTCACAGACAGCGCCATCTTGGCTCAATTTTCAAGTCACTTGAGGTATTTTTTTGAGGGAGGGGGCAATGCTGACCATGAGGACAGCAGTGATCCATAGTTGCTGACAAAGAGCTTAAGAAACACCACATGACTATATTTGACTACAATGAAATATATCCAAGATGGCGATGTCCATTAAACGGTCTTTACACCTACTTGTCTCCTCTGCAGTGGCGTGTAGCGTGGGAACATTTCACGAGACCTTCTCGTCCCGCTGTGCTCCGTGTCCGCCGGGGAGTTACCAGGACCAGGAGGGGCAGTTAGATTGCAACAAATGCCCGCAGTCCGACAACACGGGCATAGTCGGGGGCTCGGATATATCGCACTGCGGTGGTGAGTTCACTACACACATAAACACATATACATGCAGCTCCTTTGCAAAATGACGTCGGGATACCAGACACATGACCTCACGTGTCCCCCTTCTTTATTGGATCATTTTGCACACGTGGCGCAGTCCGTCGATTGCGCATGCTCCAGGATGTCCCAGCTTTTGCGCTGCTCTTGATTTCAGCGTGCGCCCTCACTGAACGACTTCTGGTTTTATGTCTGTGAGCTGAATCTTATTATACAGAATCCCTGATGATTGTGGGGGGAATTACAATTAGACTTTAAATGCAACTTTGTGCTGCGCTTTTGCGTTCTTCGGCCCTTTTACCTGCCACTTTCTGAGTGAATGCCGACTGAGGGCGTTTCGATGTTTCAAGATGGTGACCCTTAATATCTCTTTAACTTCTCATATCCCACAAGGTCAGTGCAATCCTGGCGAGTACTCTGTCGATGGCTTTGCTCCGTGTCAACCGTGTCCAATCGGGACGTACCAAGCAGAGAAAGGCAGGACGCATTGCATGAACTGTGGGGGCGAAATACACACGCGGTCAACAGGATCCACGTCATTCGCTGATTGTTTGGCGGGAGGTAATTGTAACAACTTTCAGGTAGAAATGTTAGGAGTACAGAGCTTGTGTCCATTGGCAAGACACTCTGTCGAGATTGGCTCCCGTAATGGGTACTAAAGAGTGGAATCGGTGCTTTGAGAGTAGAGATCAGGTTTTTCTGTCTTTTTAAGGGAGTTGAGTAGTCTATGGAATATCCCCTTGCACGTTAATTGTCTATGATAATGCGAGCAGATTGGGCGATTAATAATGTAATTGACTCCTATTGGCTGGCGCGCGGGATCGCATAACATTTTGCATGCCATGATATATCAGCCTTTCGATCTTGGCTCTGCACACGACGTGAATGTCTGATCTCAGACTAGGAGCTGAAATGGCCTTAGAAGGAATATTCGTGTGCTAAATAAGCAGCAACAAGCAAACAATTATGATGGTTATGCAGCTATTCGGTAGTTAATTTAGTGAATAAAACTCATTATTATTTTTATCCTTTAGAGAAATGTACTGCCGGCAGTTTCTACGACGTGGTGCGGCACGGGTGTTCGCTATGCCCGACGGGGACGTACCAATCGGAAGGGCTGATGAACTACTGCGTGAAGTGCCCCGGTAATACGACAACGGACGGCGATGGAACGACAACAGCCAATGAATGCAAAGGTGGGTCTGGTGTCACGTGATGTACGCGTGATCATATACGGTGGCCCTCAAGCGACGGCATAGTCATGAATTTCTTCGACACAAAACGTCACAGCATAATGCTGCATTTTAGGAACAAGGTCAACTTTTGAAGAAAAAAAATAGATATATGTTCATATTGCCATTGACGTTTTTGTGATGTGTTGGTGATTTTTATGCTGTTAATTTGTGTGCACTAAAGTAGCCTAGGTAGCCTGTAAGATCGTGATTTTTTTGGAAGACCTACTGATTGTATTAACAGAATAGTCACTATAAATGATATTGTATGAGGTATTTTATTATAATTTTCTGGCAATGAAACTAAGGGTTCCTCAAAAGCGCTCTAGGCACTGTAGCTCGAAAGCCTGAAGAAAGCTGTAGAGAGAAGACAATGAGTACAGTTTTAGAGGTGGGAGGAAAACCCTAGAAGAATATTCTGGGTAAAACCCACGGAATCAGGTAGGAACTGAAAACCATATCCACATGTGGACCAGGGCATGAATCCAACCCGGGCCATTGAGGTGGAAGGCGAGGAAAGTAACCACTGGCCAACCTGACTCCACATTGTGCTGCTGAACAAAAACGTTTCTGAATTTTAGTCTGAATTTTATTAGCAGCCGTTTGCTTCTCGCACTTCCTAGAACTCTAGGCCTGATCGACTTAAGAAATTCAACCTCAGTCAATCGAATCTCGCGTATTGATCGTGTCTTCCATTATCTTTTGTGTGAATCACAGATAGGCGGTGTGGCGGAGTGATCGGCGATTATGTGGGCTACATCGAGAGCCCAAACTACCCCGGTGATTACCCATCCGGTATGGAGTGCGTCTGGCGGGTTGCGGCGCCCAAAGGACGCAAGATTATCGTGGTCGTGCCCGAGGTTTTCCTACCGGAGGAAGACAATTGTGGGGACGAGATTGTCATGAGGAAAACAAGTGAGAAGAAAATATTGAAATGATTTGGAAACTATTGTGCACTTCTTTTTGTTGTTGTTTCTCATGAACCATAAGAACCAATTAAAATTGTAGGTTTGGTAGTGACAGTTAGTGTTGCTAATAAATTGTGTCACCGTAAAGCAACTAGGTGGAAAGAAGGCCAATATTTTCTGCAGCCAAGTATGGTTATGACACAGACTTGGACCTTGAGTGCAGAAAAAAATGCAAAACAAAATCAGGCCAACTATACTCACCCTTTAGCTGACAAAATGAGGCAAAAACAAGGTCCTCAGTATTTCACCAGCCAAGTTTGAGATCTCAATTTCATTTTTAAGGGAGACCTTTCGTCAACATTTTGCACCTGACAGTGAAGCCAAGTGATTTAAATTTGAAGCCTCAGACTAGACTGGTACATATCCAACTTTTTGAAAAGACTGACCAATCAGTAGTCTAAAAGGTGTTGGACTGGTTGTTTTACGTACCAGTCTATTTTCTTGTGTTGCATTTTTTTACTACCTTAAATTTTGGGAATTTCGAGGGTACCAAATTTTCGGGCTGGTTATGGCCATATAACACACATGCTTAAACATCACGTGACTGAAATATTAAGTCACATTTTTGGGGAGTTGTAGGTTTTGTTGTTGTTTTTTTTTTTTATTTCTTTTTAATCCCACGATTTGACCTTGGTGATATGTGTGTGGCCTATTTTCGAGTAGTATAATAGAGGTGTAAGTGGCGCAACCAACGTCAAAATAGTCCGCCTCCTCCCCCCCCCCCCAAAAAAAATCAAAAAATTATGATTCCCCCCCCCCCCAAAAAAAGCAGCCAAATCCTGGGTCCGCCACGGAGTAAGATACGATTTTCAGGCATTGATTTAAGTCTGTGGCGGATTTGTTTAAGGGAATTACAGACCTGAAATCGTGCCATTGATAAGTTTTACGTTTAATTTCGTGTGACTAAATCGGTACGAAAAAAAATATTGCATGGAGGAGTTGTGTTTAAGTCTGGTTTCTGTACGTTCTCTTCCTACAGATTCACCGCAATCGATGACAACCTTCGAGACCTGCAAGAACGTGACCCGACCAATCGCCTTCACCGCCCAGACTAGGAAGCTTTGGATTCAGTTCAAGTCGGACGCCTTCAACTGCCACTCCGGATTTCAGATCCACTACGCCACCTACGATGGTAAGCGTGTTAACATACACAGTGTTGGGCGGGACTCGAACCCACGACCTTCTCATTAGTAGTTCAGGCGTGTGAATAAACCTTTCTACCGCCGATGTGTGGTTGGCACATTTTGCCAACCACGGGTGGCCAAACTATGGAAGGTCCAACCCTGCAAAAGTGAAGAATAGTTTTAATGATTACAAAAATATTTAATATTGGACTGTTGAAAATACAAAATAATCAACAACCGCTACAAAATATTTCCTAAACATGGATTTTTTTTTATGTAATAAGGGTGTTATGGGATTTTTTTTGAAAATATGTTGCCAACAACGGCTTCAAAATGATGCGCTTGCGACAGCCCATACAAAATGTTTACAAACAATGTAAACAATCTATATCATTTGAAATCAACTTGAACTTTGCTGGAATAATCAAGTTGGACTAAGTATGCATTGTCATATATTCTTTGGAGTCTATTGATTTACGAGCCGGTTGTTCCCTGTTTGTGAAACCAATACTGGAATTAATTTATTTTATACCCTAAGATTTTTCATTTTTTTTTTTTTTTTTTACATTTTTTTCAATTTCTTTTTTCAACAGAGAATTACGAGGAGCTTATTAAAGATATTGTCGGGGATGGCCGGCTGTACGAGTCTGATCATCACCAGGAGATCCTTAAGGTAAGAATTGATATCCTGTCCGTCCGTCAGTTTGTCTGTTTGCTGTTAAATGTGCACAAATCGATCCTGAATACAGGGTGTAATTAGCAACCGAATTTGCAATGTGCAATGAAAACGAGATGTAAATATAGTTCGCAAAACACTTAGCCCATAACACACCCTGTAAAAGATGATACACCTCATTTTTTTTTACGGAATTAGGTACTTAAAGTTGAGCAGACCTTATCTTGGAGTTGGCTTCATCGTTCACGTCGGATTCTTTATCCCCAAATGACAAAAACATTGCCAAATCTTGCAATGCACACGCGCAGTTAGGTAATAGAGGACACAATTACATGATCTGGACCCAAGTTCACCATTTTTTGTGTAAAATAGAGTATATTGAGGATCAGGGAAAAAAATTAGTGTTTCATATGAATGGTTTCTTCCGCAGAAAATTTGAATTCTTGAAATTAGTGGCTGTGGTGAGGCGTTATGCCATTTTCATTGAAGTGGCTCATTTTCCAGTCTGCACACCGAATTGGTTTTGCCTTTTTTAAATGTGTCAATAACTTCAAGTGAGTTAGTCACCATGACTAGGTTTTTATTTGTTATTACACTGCTTCACATCAGTACGGGATTTCAGTAAATTTGTTGAACCATGGAACCGTGGTCAGAGTGTTTTTTTAGCGGGTGTTCTTCGCTAGCGCTTTTCTTCAAAATGGTACAATGGACACACATGAAACTTTCACTCAATATGTCCAAAATACCAGCCTTTCACATATCTCATTTGCACTTATTTTGATAATTGCTACATATTTTTTTATATTTTCTTTAATTTGGGTTCAGATCATTCTGACTCACCCTGTAGGCTCATTAGAAAGCTAGTTCGGTGATGGACGCTATGTAACGATATTTTGACGTTAATTCGTAATTTGTTTGACACTTTCTTTTGTATTGTTCTCCCGCTCCTACCAGGATAAAGAAACGCTGACAGCCTTATTGGAAGTGATCGCTCATCCCGAGATGTACTACAGATACAGCCAAGAGGAATCCATGAACATGTTACCGCACTCTTTCATTAAGCTCCTTCGAGGGAAAATTTCACGCTTCTTTTACCCCTGATGACGTCACGATGACGTCACGATGAGTTCCCGTCGCGTCCGTGTATAGTATATCTCCTTTGTATTATTTTGTAAATAAATAAAAACCGAAAGGCAGTAATGTATGAAAAAAATGTATTCCATATTCTTTTTTTTTATCGAGAGTTTATTTTTAGGTTTTGAATTGAGTGTACATGTTCTGAGAGCGATTTCTTATATTTGTTGATTTTCTTCTTTTTTTTCGTTTGAGAATTGGCACTTGTGCTTAAAGGTGCTGTCTTGTGAATTTCTGAAGTTCATTGGACAGTGTGTTCGTTGGAGCGCAGGTGGCGATTGTTAGGCCATAGACATTTCCTTTAATGTTGTAACTGTTTCATGAACTCTGACGACTTGTAATCCACAGAGGTGGAAACGTTGGACAATGTTGCAGTGTTTGCAACCAATAGCTGGTGCAACAAGCAACGAATCCCACATCTGGTTTTGAATGTACTTTTCCTAACTCAACAACAACACGTTGTTGAATAAGATGTTTATAAATTATGTGATTCTGTTGGGTTTTTTTTCTCTTCTGTTTTTGTTTCATAATTCCAATTTTCATTGTTTGTTGCGCTTTTCTCATTTATTTTTCTCCATTATTTGTCTGATTGTATTTCCCCACATTCCCCATGATCATTTTGGTTTTGGTTTTTCTGTTGTGGTCGCCGGCAGCAAACATAATGGAACAAAATCGTTCTGTTTGCCTCTGCTTTAAGTGTGTACGGCTATGCACCCTCAAAGACTGTGTACTAGTGACCCCGCCCCTTCAATGGAGAGTTTGGAAATGCTTTTTAACTGTTTTTACTTCCCGAGATTGCATAAGTCGTACAATTATCAAATAGAAAAGTATTAAGAAAATCTTGTCTGTGTTGTGTGTGTGCGTCGCGCGGCGACATTAAAATTCTTAATTGTGGTTTTTTTCAATAATTGTTTAAAGGAAGCATGTAAGCAAATGTGTATTTTTAAGGTAAAGGATAATGTAAAAATAGATACAATCCTTATCAATACCGAGTGATATATAAGGCATTATTACCACAAAGTATTCGCGAAATTGTGGGCTATATAAAGATAAAACAATATGCAATTGTTACTAAACCGTTAGAGGAAATTAATGAAAGCAGCGTATGCGTGACGCCACCTTTGCTACTTTGCTCTGCAAATCTAGTCTCATTTTGTACCTATCGTAATTTTTAAACAAAATATTTCTCCGCGGAAATGTCATTTACAATTGTATATTACTATAGCTGTTATAGAATTCCAAGTATAGATTCTTGATATTTGTTTGTTTGGTCAAAATGACCACTAGCGTACGGCTTTCACCAATATTCATAAATACCTAAGACAGTTTACGCATTCCTATTGGTCGAGAGCCCGTCACGTGGCCGGTCTTAAACGGATGATAAAGACATGGCTAGCTAGCTGGTCTTAAACACTTTTCCAGTGTCACAATAAAATGTGGACTCCTAAAAATCCAGTGCCTCTTATCGTTTCATTGGTTGAACGTTCACGATCCTCACGTAGGCATGCGCAACACTACCAGGGAGTCAGAATTTTATAGTTCTAAATTCAAAACGCAACGTGCCAGGTGCGTTCTGCGCGACATCGCGCAGAACATGATGCGTGCGCGTCAATCTCCATAAAAGGGTTGTTTACATCTTACTCGCCAGCTGAACACTCCATTATTTTGCAAGAGGGATGTTTCAAAAAGCATAAAGTGAATTTGTTGAACAAAATCGGGATGTTTTGAACGAATTATATGATTTGTTTTTACAGAAAAGGTATTTATGAATGGGAATAAATATGTGCTCCGTCGGTATTTATCACTCTGTTTAAGACCACTTAGAGTCTGGGTGCTGATAATTATCCTCGCCTCCGGCTCGGGTAATTATCAGCACCCAGACTCTAAGTGGTCTTAAACAGAGTGATAAAAACCTCCGGAGCACACATTTATTCCCTTAATAACAACTGTATTAATCTTTTTGTATGTGATAGACATTTTTTTACCGCGTACGATTGTCTTACGATATGATTAAGCGTTTGCAGTTTTCTTGTGTATATAATGTGCCAAAGAATGACCTTCGTGCATACAAGCTGTATATATTAATACTTGGTTTTAATAAATTAAAAACTGCACTGCCGTAACCTCGCGTTAACTCGCGTTGTTTGATAAGTAATGAGTAATACCGAACTTTAGATTAATTATTATATACGCCAAAATTGTCGGAGTTTGGAGAAGTCTAAATTGATAGACTAGGTGTTGTTGCCATGGCGATGGGATCGTGTCACTTAGAAATTGAACAAGGGGTGTGTAATTTTGCTAAAAATGTCTGTTTTACACTTTAAAAAAAATCCCATACCAAACGTGACACTCGGATGTCGATTTTATTTTGTTTTATTCTGTATTCTTATTTGTATTTTCTTATTTTTAACATTTTTTATTTATTTATTTTTTTGGGGGGGGGAGGGGAGGGGTGGTTAGCTCTAGCGTCCTCTCCGAAAAAAAAGTTTCCTGAGTATTCGCTCAAAATAAAATTTTAACTTATCAAAACGTTCTGTCAAATATCTTCAAAAATTGTATGAATTTTTCCAAAGTAAGGTCCGTAGGAAAAGCCCCACAAGTTAAGTAACTAGTACTGCTCCTGATGTAGCAAGAGTAAAAATCATCAGAACTTTTTGCATTGATATATAGTAGATTTGCATACTAATATAAATTGAAGAATTATGGAATATTATGGTTGGATGAAAGAAATTTGAAAATGTTGCAACAAAAGTCATGGAATTCCCGTGTATTATATTTAAAAAATTAAAAAAGAATAAAAAAGAGGCTGTTCGACATTACTGAATAAAATCTGCAACTTTGTATAATAAACCTTGAAGCAGTGTGTTTTTTGCTTCCTTTTTAGTTCCTCTGTAGAACAAAAAAATAATCCGCTTACATACTTACAGTGTGTTTTGAATACAAACGTGGACATCGATGACGTCAAAGCGTGTTGTCTAGCTGTACATCTCCGAAACTAGCGTGATAATGTGACAGAGGGACCCCCCCCTCTTTTGTGTTGGTCATTGTGTTACGTTACCAGAATCTCAGGAATTCTTTAGAGATATCAGTTTGACACATCACTACATTGTCTCCTACCTAACCAAAACCATGAACGTTTTGTGCTCCAAACTAGCCTCCTCACGTCACATTACTATGCACATTATTAGGGAAGACCATGAGTGCCTGAACTCTTTCTCTTTGCGTTCTCTTTCGCGGTGGTGCATCTAGATATATCTTTTCAAGGAGATGTTTTAACTATTATTATCAGTGTGACTACACACCACCACCGCGAAAGAGAAACGCTTTGCTGTGAAAGAGAAAGAGGTACCTGGCACTTATAGTCTTCCGTACATTATAAATTATAATTATCAACTGACATGAGAAGGCTCTACTCAGAGGTACAGGAATTTTCAGCTAAACTCCTCTGCTCTTTTAAGATTCCTCACTTTCGTCATTTCACCACATCACCGTCAGGTGAAAACTACATTCATTTTTCTGACCTGTTGGACCTGCGCGTCGGTGAAGTATTAGGGCGCCCTCAACGTGAGTGATTATTTTCTCTAAAGTGAGGGCGCCCTTGAGACTAGACAGCGTCCTGTTTTGATTTGGCATTTGGATGCGAAGCGGTTGATGTGAAAGCGAGCGATGTTTGGTTAAAAAACTTGCAGAAATAGGAGGATTGGAAGAAGAATTCTGTCGTAAGTTTGTTCTTTAATATTTATGAATAGAAGTAAATGTGACTACTTTATTGGTTGATTGATATTTGGGAAAGAATTTAGTGTAAATCCAGACGCCACTCCCGAGTGCATTTTTTCAGTCAGTCAGTCTTTTCGGTAGGCCTAAGTTTAGGACTAAACTGTCCAGTACCAAAGTGTTTTTTTTCTTCAGATAAATTCAATTGAGTTGTAGTTTTGAAAGCACTTTCAAAGAAAATGTGACTTTCCTAATTTTTTTTGCAGGTCGCCATCTTGCTTTTTTAAATATATTTTTGTTTGTCATCGTCGTCTTTTAGTACCCCTCATAAATCAAAGCCCTGCCCTCTTTCCACAAAATTAAACCCGCTGATATTCAAGATGGTGTCTTGCCAACTGTTACTGCGCAATAGTCGTAGCCTTGTTGCCATTTTGTGATTGGACGATGAACGACATTCGTTTGATGGTGTCTTCATATCTCCAGTGCAAGTAGCTATGCTGCAAGCGCGGTTGCAAGTAGCGCTGCTTACGCACCTGGGATCCGCACTCGGTATAGTGACCATACAATACAATCATTTTAGTGACGGTCTGTTATCATAAATGAACATCATAAAAAAAATAGAATTTCAATAGAAATAGAAATGCAGGAAAGTGAATACGGAATTGAAGTGTTAAGTAATTAGTTCTTCCGGTCGCATCATCAGTCCTTTTAGATATTATAGGGAGGTATGTTTTTAAAAACTTCTTAACTATTTTCAAATTAAAACAATGATTGAAAAGAAAAGCAGGGATCTTTAATACGCATAATATGTACATAAAATTAATAAATTTACATTCGTAAAATAATTTTTTTTCAAAGAAAGCATGAATAAAGATGAATAAAATAAGTTGTTTTTAAAGAGAGAAGTAATTCTTCCATTCTCAAAGTTAAAGCACAAAATTAATGTCCAACGAATCATTGCAGATAGCTTGCAATGTTCATTTAGATATCGAGATATATACACAGTAGGGTTTTGTGAAATGATTAAAAGTTTTTCCTTTCCCCCTTTCTGTATCATTATGTGAACGAAATGTGTCACAGAAAAACCTGGTCTTGTACGATGAACATGTACATGCGGCGCCCGTAGTGTACATGGTACCGTACGTCGTACTTGCGTACATGTGCATCAACGTCGTTAATTGTCCAATCACAAAATGGCAACAAGGCTACGACTATTGCGCAGTCAACTGTTCAAATGTGTCAAGAAATATCAGAATGTTACTTTTGGGTGTCATTTAGTCAGCTGTTTTGGTGATTCTTTTAACCTTACAATGTATATAGGAACGGGGTCCTGAAAGTATGGATTACCGTATTATTTTCCAACAAAATTGGGAGTGTTTGTCAATTCCAGATTCATGTCTTTTCAACATTTTCGCAATGACTGACCTTCATTGAGATACTAAATGATGAAAACAGTGGCGTAAGGATGTAACATTCTTTCCGATATGTTTTTCTAATTTTGTATTTGTGTTTACTGCCGTACTGTTTGAATAATTAACTGTTCAAAAATGGATGAAAAATTAAAATTCGAACCCCCCCCCCAAAAAAAACCCCACCATTTTATTGTGCACATAAACATTATGATGGCCTCCAAAAACAAGGATAGACGAGGTTCCCCCCCCCCCCCCCTTTACGTTTGGAAACTTTGACTTTCAAATCACACTGTTATCACAGTAATGGATTAATGTTACCTGTTCAAAACAGATATTATCTCTCTATTTTCAGATTTTTTTACCAACTCAGAATTGATCATGAAGATTGCGGCCGATTTCCCCGAGGGTGTGGAGCGATATGATCAGCATGGCTTCGCCGTCTTCAACGACAAAACGTTCTGTGAATCGGAAAGACACCATCCCACTGAAATGTTGGTTGAATCATGGAGCTATTAACAAACTTTGGCAGTGGATATTTGGCCAGCGCCGGTTTCCTTTGAGTAAACGTTGCTTTGCCAGACGTCGTCTTTGAATCCTCTGTCAAACTACATGTAGTCCAAGTAACTACGTAGGACTATCTACAAATCGCCGGGTTTTTTTTTGCATTTGGTCATGGTCTTTTGCGAGACCGTGACCAAATGTTAAAAAAGGCAACTTGTAGAGAGTCCTAGTTACTCGGACTACCGGCAAAGTAGTGTTTACTAAAACTTTTAAAAGAGTGCCATTGCAGCCAATGTGAAGTAAATTAGTGCTGGGCGTGTAACCCGAGTACTCGAGTACTAACTAGTAGTGTTTGCTGCTTGTTGTTCTACTCCTGGTTTTTCTTCTAGTCGAGTACTCATCCAGGCATGAGTAGAAGTAGGTACTCATGAATTTTGTCAAGGTTTGGGGTTTTTTTGGTAATTTTCTTTTTTGTCCCACGATTTGACCGTGGTGATATGTACATGTATGTATGTGGCCCTTTTTTAAAGTAGTATAATAGGGGTGCAAATGGTGCCAACAACGTCAAAATAATCCGTCCTCCAAATTTTTTTTTCAAAAAAACCCAATTTTTTCCACGGCCAAACATTTTGGGCAACATTTTTTTTTTACAAATTCAAATTTCTTACAAAAAATTGTGAGCCCCCCAAGCCAAATCCTGGGTGCGCGCGCCACTGGGCTTCTGCGCCAAACTTGTCTGTTCCCCGCAATAAAGGAATCACTACCGCCATCTGTTTCCTTGGGATTCCACTAGCACTCTCAACAAATACATTTTCAAGTAAAATGAGCCAAAACTTTGCGTAGTAAAGATATCTGAGTGTTGACGAATGTGGTGCGTCTTCCGCGCTGTTTATTAGTATTTACGCCCTTCTTAGTAATGCTCAAAAGTTGTTTTTATGGGAATTTAGTAAACTACTAGTGAGTACTCGACTACTCACAAGTCAATTCTCTGCGGGTACTCGAGTGGGAAAATCCACTACTCGCCCAGGCCTAATGTAAATATACGTTTACTACAAGAAAAACGGTGTCCTGCAAATATCCACTGCCAATAACTTGTTGCTTGAAAAATTGCAATTTCAACAAAGGTTATATTTTTTCAGGGGTGTAACTTAAAAAAAACCCAGCAATGTGGAGATGAAATACAACCAGTTTCAAACGTTTTTTTGCCATTTTAACAAATAATTCAACCTAATTGCTTTTTTTGTTGAATGTATAACATTAGAAAAAACAAGAGTAGTCCGGCTCACATGGAAGCGTGGAAGGCCGTGCTGACGGACTGGTCTCGGACCCAGACCAATGGCTGCAGCAAACTCAGGTCCCTGCTCAGGAAAGGCGTACCACCGTCGCTACGGCAACAGCTGTGGCAGAATCTGTTGGGATGCCAACACCTCAAACAGACGTCAAAGTTCAACTATAAGGTACACACTTATATCCAAAAATCAGTACTTAAAAAGACAAAAACAATTACCCTGTACAAGAAACTTTTTGTTGTTGTTTACTCAGCCTTAAAATTTGTTCTCAATTAAAGCTAAGACTTTTTGCCAACAGCAGTTTGACAGCTGTAAGGATCTGTTACCATTAAACCAATTGCATAATAAAGAGGCAAACATATCATTTTGAAGGACATGATGAAATAGTTTGGTTCATAATTTCTGCAGGGTTTCCATAGTACCGGAAAAATCCAGGAAACTCCTGGAATTTAAAGCTATCATGGAAAATCATTGGAAAAGTCATGGAATATTTGATATTTAACGAGGAGTCATGGAAAGTTTATATTCCCAGAGAAAAGTCACGGAAAAGTCACAGAATCTTGCCTAGTGGTCTCGTGTCAAACTGGAAGGCTGAAAGGGAGTGGCGTCCCTTGCCTGTGTGATGACTGGCCAGTGGTATTGTAAATGGGCTCCTTTTCTTCTTCATTCATTTATTTTCATGATGACTTGATGAGTTGGGCCCAACTGTCCCTGTCGAGCATAGTGTTGGAAAGAGATGGACCACTCAGACCAGTTTCTAGCTCGATGGATGTTTTCAGGGTCATGTTGGGACGACCTTTTCGTCGAGGGGCTTCAGGATTCCAGAGGAGAACTTGACTAGCTGGCTCATTATGTCGATAAACGTGACCGGCTAGCCGAAGGCGACGCTGTCTGATGGTGGTGGAGATAGGGGGAAGGGCACCATACAGAACAGAGTTAGGGAGATGTTGTTGCCAAGAAACCTTCTGAACAGCCCGCAACATCCGTGTATAGGTGCCATCAATGGATGCAGAGATCTGTTTGGTCAGGGTCCAGGACTCGCAACCGTAGAGGAGGATGGATTCTACTGAGGTCTTGAAGATGGGCTCCTAAGATGTCCAAACAGCACAGGAATTGGTTGTGGACAGCCGTGATTTTGTCCTGGAAATGTCATGGAATTTTAGTCAAAGATTTCTGCGGGAACCCGGTTAGATATCCTTTTTTTTTTATCTCAGACAAGTGTGCGGCTGATTCGCAGGGAGCTAGTGGACATCGGGATCAGCGAGTATTGCCTCAGGCCCAACCAGGTCGACTGGAACGTCACGGCAGAGTCTGAAATCAGCTTTCCCGTACCGCCGCAAGTCATCCGACAAATTACCGTAGACGTGGGTAAGGATTTGAAGCCAAGTAGTTTATTGCCTCCGTGTATCAGCAGTAGAGGGCGCTATGTGACATTCACAAGAGCTCCAGATCAGAGTTGTAACGAGTCACTGATTTTTGTGACTTGAGTCGAGTCGAGTCATTTTAAAGAAGTGACTTGAGTCGAGTCATTTTAAAGAAGTGACTTGAATCAAGTCATTTTAAAGAAGTGGCTTGAGTCGAGTCATTTTAAAGAAGTGCCTTGAGTCGAGTCATTTTAAAGAAGTGACTTGAGTCGAGTGGAGTCATTAGGTCAAAAGGTTGAGTCGAGTCGAATATTTAGCTCAAGTAAATTGGAGTAATGAATATTTGAACACTATATACCAAAATTTATAAAAGGAGGCCATAAGTTTAGCCAGTGTTCGAATCCAAGAGCTTTATGTGAAATCGCCCACAGCCAGTCGAGTCGCGTCATTAATTACGGCCCCAGTCGAGTCGAGTCACCAAAAGTTGTGACTCGGGTCGGACTCGAGTCGAATCATTGACTCGAGTCATTACAACTCTTCTCCAGAAAGATAGTCGAACTATATTCTTGACCAAAATTGATTGTGAAACGCTTAATTGCATTGTATCGTATTCAACTTTATCAGATCGTACCTTCCCAACTCATCGTCAGTTCATGGAGGGATCGCATGAAGCAAAGGAAGGCCGGGCATCTCTGTTCCGCCTACTAGCCGTCTACGCCTTGTACAACCCGCAAGTCGGCTACTGTCAGGGTGAGAAATCACTGGTATCCATTATTCCTGGTAACCACAGTCCTGTCCAAAGGTGCTGGAGATTGCAAATTGTTTTTTGTTTGTGGTTATGTGTTTCTACTGTTACTATGACTGTACTTATACTTTTGTTTTCTCAATAAGTACATGAGTATTATGACCTTAGAGAAAGTTGGAAAACAAGAATCAATTTTTTTTGCAGTGACGCCTTTAACTAAACAATTAGAGTGCCGTGGCCTCATGGTCTGGATCATTGAATTGATGGTCTGCGAGCGAGTAATGCCGCTGGTTGTGGGTTCGAGTGGATGCGTGTGCCCTTGGGCAAGGCACTTTGTCACTCATTGCTTCTCTCCACCCCGGAGATGGTTATTGTGGTTGATTTTAGCTGCTTTGCGCCTAAATGGCAGCATCAAGCTGTATACTCCCCAGGGAGCTGAGATTGTCTTTGGAATGTTTCATTGGCTCAATGAGCTGGGTAATAATGATGTAGCGTCTTGAGCACCAATACTGGTGGATATGTGCACTTTATAATACGTATTATTATTATGTATTATTTACAATTAATATAAATTACAGGTCACATTCAATTCCATTCTGGTCAAGTTGCTGAAAATGTCATCAAAACAGAAGTACTAAAAGTCGAAATAAAATATTAGTGTACGTTTTTAAAACAAAGTAAATTTTCACAACACTCAATTTTGGATTTAGAAATGGAACACCACTTTTCAATCGATCGCTTCTATGCATGTCACTATTGGACAGGACAGTTGATGTTTACACAGCTTTAATATTTCTGAGCACTATTTCACACGCTGATAATATCAATATTTAATCGATAGGAATGTCCTACATTGCCGGCATGCTGCTGATGCAGATGACGGACGAGGAGGAGGCATTCTGGTCAATGGTGGCGCTCTTCGAGAAACCCAAGTACCTGTCTGGATACTTCGACCAGTCTTTGCTCAGGTCAGCATTTGGCACAATGCCAAATCTTTTTCAATGTCTTAACCCTGCCCAGCGTTTACAAATTTTTTTTATCAGAACTCGCCAACGGGGGCCCTTTGGGCCACAGGTACTTCCCTGCACTACGCAAGACCCTATTCATGTCAAAACAACAAAAAGCCACGTGCAAGACAGTGTCCAGGCAGTTGCCAGACAGTGCACTTAAAAGATAATTGACTGGCGGCTGTGGTTTGCGGCTATGAAGGGAGATGGCTGTGTCAAGTTACAGGTGTTTGTATATGGTTCAATGGGACTTGGCAGGAGGCCTGGTCGAAAGTTTGTTGACACGGCCTGGGTGAAGCCCTGGCTGCAAAGTTCATTGAACCAGCTTATTTGGCAAGGGTTGAATGAGGATTAGATGGAAGGTGACCGTCATTGGCCCTCAATTTTTTTTTTTTATTCAAAAAATTCGGTCACCTGATCGCAAAATGAAACCAGGTCACTCTGCGGAGGGTTAAGTCACACAAAACTATCTTTTTTTTGCTTATTTTATGGAGCTGATATACAGCAACAATCCTGTAGTGGGAGTAATTGACCTATCGCTGTTTGCGAGTTAGCCACGCCCCTTATAGACAACCCTATGGAATTGTGTACGTTAAGTTTTGATTGTCTCAGATTTTGAATGTTCTGCGTCCATTTGTATATCATGTAATTTGACAATTTAAGCTGCGTTGACGCGATTCTACCGTGATGGGTTTATTGGAGAATATGATGGAGCTAGGAAAAAGTATAAGTCCATAGTAATTCCCGCAGAGTGGCTACTCGAATATGGGGACACGGAGTGGGATTGAGTTGAGAGAGGCAAAAGAGGGCGCCATTTTCCCTTTTTACAAAAATCCTCCAAGGAGATGAATCTGTATGCATACAATGTTACCTGAATGGGGAGGATAAAAAAAAAAACGTTGAAGTCCAAAGTAGCTCCCCTGGAGTGGCTACGCGGATACGTAGTGCGAAATGCACTCGTTTTGTGGGTGAGCAGTCAAGCGTGACTCCATATCCGCGTAGCCGGCTATGAGGTGGGATAGATGAGTGGCGGGGTGTTCTGCAATTGTGCCTTTTTCGCGAAAAAATATGTGGTCATCTTCAAGAGAACCTCAGTTCTTTTGTCCTTTACTTTTTCCAGGATCCAGCAACATGCAGCTGTCTTCCAGAAGTTGATCACCCACAGACTGCCAAAATTTGCCAATCATCTTGTAAGTTTTGCCTATTTGTTTGTTCTTCCTTCAGAAAAGAGGTAAAACAGAGCAGGAATGTTCAAAGATGTGTGACCGTCTTGTAGTGGTGGAATCAGATACACTAGTTGGGCAATTCCAGCGTTATGTAATGTCCATGACCGAGTTTTTAAGAGCTCAGTGAATAAACCTGAAAATGTTATTTTTTCTTCCAATCTTATACATCCATCATCTAGCAATGGTCAAGGAGAATGCAGACTAGGAGTGTTGGATCATTTCTCTGAATCATTAATTGAATATCATGGTTAATTGGCTCTGTCATGGACATTACACTTCCCCACAATGCTGAAATTGCCCACTTCATTTTCTTGAAGTTGCCAGGCAATTTGTTAGATCACCAGGGCCCAATATCTTGGCTCTGCTTACTGTAAGTGAAAATCCCTGCTTACTGACGCAGAAAATTCTGTGCTTACGATTAGCCCATGTCACGCATTAGCGAGGAATTTTGGCTTCTGCACATGCGTACATCCCATATTACTAGGGATTCTGTGCTTACAGGGTTAGCACAGAATTGTTCTGCTAGCGCAGTTAATAGCACAGAATGGTGATTGTAACCACGGAATTGTGTGGTTAGCAGAGCATGATGAAATTTGGCCCTGCTTCATTCTGTGTCAAATTTGCCTGAATGTCTGGAAAGGATAATGATTGGAGCCACAAAGAGAGACAGAATTAGGAACGAAGATCTTAGAAGAAAGACAGGGGTGCAAGACATAATAGTTGAGATCAAAAGGAAAAAGTGGAGTTGGGCAGGAAATGTCATGATAAGCAACAACCATAGATGGACCCTGAAAGTAATGAATTGGACGCCATTATCGTTGAAGAGGCGGAAAGGAAGACAGCCTAAGAGATGGCGAGATGAAATCTCTGATTTCATAGAGAAGAAATGGAAACAACTGGCAAGGGACCGAATAGCATGGAAAGTTAGTGGAGAGGCCTTCATCCAGCAGTGGATTGAATTAGGCTAATGATGATTATGATGTCTGAAACAGCCAACAGAGGGCGCTCTAAACCATATACTTTCTCACGCCTTATCTTACAACAGGCATCCATGGATCTGCACCTCCTAACCTTCGTCACGCCGTGGTTCATGTGTCTCTACACGTCCTTTCCCTGCTGGGATACTGTCCTTGCAATATGGGACCTCCTTCTTTTGGATGGTAAGCTCCGCCCCCTCCCAAACCCAAGGTTTGAGGGCTACACCACTAGTAAGGCCAAAAAAAAATAATAAGTCGGTCTCTGGTCAGTGCGCGCGTCGATTTTAATCATGCGCGTCAATCTTTTTTTTTTCCAAAATGTTCCGCGGTAGCTCCAACAGCGCCCTCTATTGCCGCACCTCCTCAATTTTTTTTTTACCAAAGAGCACCAAGGAATGGGAAATTGCACCAAGGCAAATGATCGAGAGCACCAAGGCAAATTATGAAGGACACCAATGTACATGAGGACACCAAAAAAGCAAAATAGACCCCACCTTGTCTGTACAATCCAAGCTTGAAGAAAAAGAAAAAAAAGCCGCGTCGCCGCGTCAATTCCGGAACTGTGGTCTGACCAGAGACCGAATATTTTTTTTTTTGGCCTAATGGCTGGTTCATTCTTGACATAAAAGCGAATTCAAAATGTCACAAAACGTTTGCTGCGAAATTCGCCCGAGTTGAAATGCGTTCAAGTTTTGCGAATTTCCAGCGCCAAAACTGGCTGTGACATCACACGTTCATGTTCGCTTTCGCGCCTAGTATAAACCGGCCTTTAAGCTGCAATTTAGTGAGTCTAGGGGCTAGACGTTGTTATGGTTTGATACGCGATAACCCGCCGCCGCGATAACCCACCGCTGCGACAGGGCGTTTTCATGACCAATCAATATATCATCCACACACCGTCAGTAGCAACGTCTAGGCCAATTCCTATTGGTTGTGTAATGCAGGCGCACCTGTTTGGCCTAATATATGCAGCGTGCATTAAAAAAAGGCAAAGTAGTTCCGAAGCAAACTCTCAAATTTCTTCCAGTAATGTGAAAGATGCAGCAAGACGTTTGTGCAACTTCACTGGTCAGCTCTTTTGTTGTGTGTAGTATGTGTGGGGTTGAGAATGGACCGTAATTGCCTGCAGAAGTCGCGCATGCGCACTAGTTTCCCCCATTTTTCGGGGGGAGATTTTAGGAACTGACAGTTCGTTGATCATATTGGTTGGTCCTGATAACGCCCTCTCGCAGCGGCAGGTTATCGCATATCAAACCATGACAACATCTTGCCCCTAGACTACAATTAAGTCCACCCTTGTTTTGAAGCAAAGATTTACTTAGAGTCCAGGTTAGCATCACACTGGGATAAAATAAAATTGCAAACAATTACCCACGTTCACCAAAACAAACAGGCATGATATTTTTCAGACTTTAGTGTGAAATATCAGACTTTATGAATCTGAGAGAAAGACATTATCATGAGTAGAGAAGGAAATGTATCTTGCAGACCTTTCATCCGATTTTCAGACTTTTACAAAATTGAAAATCTCATACCTAACAAATCAGCGTTTTGGGACCAAAAAGTAAAATTGCTACCTAACTTTTAGAGCTGAACCATGTAAATTGGATACCTTGTACAATGTGATTTCCTTCGTTAAGAAATTACAACGTGAAGGCATGCAATTTTGAGGCATGGGCCTTTAAAAATGCGAAATATCACCAAAAGCAACTGAGGAGTGTATTTTGAGGGGGCTATATCGTGGAAACAACTTGCGAGTTGGGAGCTAATATTCGTCTTGTGTTTTGACGAAGGCATTATTTTTGGTCCAAATTTGAGTCAGTCAAATGAAGACCTAAAGGTAATTTTAGTCATTTTCATGTTTGAAATTTTTAATCTATCACAGGTATCTGTACTATATTCCGCGTAGCTTTGGCTGTGCTACGCCTCAGTCAAGATGAGTTGCTCCAGACTACAGACTTAGCTCGCATCCTTCCCCGACTCCTGCATCCCCCACCAGAACTGTGAGTGTTCAAACCAAGAATTCTCTCCTAATTGGCACAAAAATGATGGCCGTTGATCCTTGTTCAATTCGGCACCGTCACCACGAAGTGACACTTACATCGAAAATCAATGTTTTGCGATTTCAATTTTCGATATTTTTTTTTTCCTAATTGGTGATTAATTACACATAAACTATCACCTCAAGAAGTTACTATACACAGAGTTAATTAGTTTTGTCAAAATATTAATTAATATTAATTAACGTTTGTAACTTTATGGGTCAAAACCGGAAAATACGTTTTCACGAAGTGTACTATACCATTCTTTTGCGTGTAAACTGCCTGCATACTACGCGTCAAAAAGGGGTTTTGCGTTTTCACAAAGTAACACAAATGTCATTTGATATGCAGAACTCACTTCTGGCATTTTAACAAAGTAAAGCTAAGCCCATAACTTATACACATGGTTAGCGTCACTTCGTGAAAACTCGAACACAGCGTTATCTGATTTTTGAGTTTTCACAAAGTGTACTTATGATTAATTTAGTTTGGTAACTCGTTAATAGTTATTATGTTCAATAAAAATCATACATTAACGTGTCATTCAAGATCCCAGCTTTCAGACAATGCAACAAAATATGAATTTTAAGGATAAAACGATATTCAGAACACCGTTTCAAAACATCATCAACTTTAAATCCCTTGTGTCTTGAAACACACATTTTCCACTTTGCGGCGGTGAAGGTCACTTGTGCTGACGGTGACGAATTAAGGTATCAGTAGAGTTGCAAGAATCAAATACAATCCATTCCAAACTCAGAATCAAAATTGTGACCCAACGTTTTGAAAGACTGAACTCGTGTGCAGTGGTATGCAAGCCTGAAAGGGTGGTGCTTGTGTTCTTGGGCAAGACACTTTACAACAATAACCTAGAGTACCTGTGAGGGTAGAGAAAGATTGTATCGATCTTTAATTGCTGCGTATGTAACCTAACCCACTCTCTGATGAACAGGGATAATAATGTGAATTGCTTCGAGACATTTGTATAATTTCACTTTGCAAGCACCACCTTGTGCCCTTTGGCAAGACACTTTACGTGGAGCCCGGGCAAACACCACATTACATGTATATTTAGTTGGTTGTCTGTGTTTTGACTGCAGAGTAAATGCTGAGCATCTACTGCCAGTCGTTTGGAGAACCACCGTTGAAAAGTGGGAAATTGATTCCCTGCAGGCCATAGTAGCTGAGGAATCTGATGATAAACCAGGTACAGTTATAATATTAACCTTTAACCACTTTGCGCTGGGATGATTTTTGTCGAAAATTTCGATTTTTGCAAAAGGAAAAGTTTTCCAGCCAATTAACTTCTGATATACAGACACAAATACTGATTCGCAAGAGTAATTTCAACAGTATGTGTGCGATATTTTTGCCATAAACTTACAACGTAAATTGTACAACAATAGGCCATGCACAACTGCCAATTAAAGATCAACACATGGTCCGCCTCCACAGACTTCACAGACTTTTTGTGTGTGTACAAAAGACACGAGGGATTAGCGAGTTTAGACGTCACCCGGAGGCGAGTCAAGGCAATCTTGATGTTTTAACCGGTCAGTCGTGCCTGTGTTTAAAAACAGCCAGTGTGTGGTATCACGTTCTCCGACGCGACCTGGTTAACAAGACGGATAAGAAGCCTTTTCATAATTAACACACACTTGCGAACAGAAAGCGCATCCAACAAAACATTTCTTGCTAAACTCACCAGAGATGAAGTGCATTCAGCTTTGACATCACAAATTTGGGTCGACATTTGTGTTTTCACGCCCAGAGTAAAACAGCCTTTTGTGTGTGAAATAACCCTTGCAACATATTTCAGTGGAAGACTCTTCATTTTTTTTTTCCTTTGTAAAACACATTGATTTTTTTTTTAATTAGGAAGGAAAAGGAGACGTCGCATTGATTCTGATGCTGGCAAGGCAGAGGTGGTGGAAAAGCGCCCCCGCAATGGCGAGACCGAAGGTACGCATTTTTTTTGGCTTTGAGAAAAAAAAATGCGATAAAGCCACAATAAAAAATGAAGATACAACTACAGAACTGGACAATAAAATATAACTACAGAACTGTACATAAACCTTCTGTATGGAGTACGGAAGTGTGACATCATTGAGAACCAGAAAGTGTAGTGCAAACGAATGGAGTACGCGCGCGTGTTGGTTCACGGGCTGAATCACGCGCGCAATGTCTTTGTATGATGTATGAAGTGATGTACATGTATTCACTTCGGTACTCCGTAAAACAAAACAGGTTCCCATAGTCTTCATGTGTTTGCTGTACTTGATGTCGTCTTGTTTTGAAATGCTTTTAAAAACTTTACCGTTGACAGAGGAAAATGAGACCTCAGTGTTTCGGCGAGTCCTGAGCCTGTTCAAATCCTCCAATCAGCAGGCCCAGCGCGGGTCAACGACGCGCTCCCAGACAGCCAAGGCGAGGGCAGCAAACAGAGTCACTCAGAGACGCAAGACACCCGGAGTGGCTAAGGCTACAGCTGGTCTGGTACCTCGCCCCTCTAACACCACCGCACTGCAACACTCCAACCCAACATCATCTGCAGAACACAAGGCACCAGACTTGAAGAACTTAAATCTGGCACCCACTCTCCACCAAGGCAGCACAGCGTCAAGAAACACCAAAGCTCCATCAATGAAGGGCAAGGACCCAGACTCAAGTCGTAAAACTGTTGCCACCGCATCTGTTAAGTGGAGCAAATTCTTCGAGCCAGCCACAGCCTCTTGTACGTCCCCTTGGAAGGAAGGGCTGAAGGCTTTGACTTTCTCACTCCCCGTTCAGCAAGGCATGATGATTTTTGGAGGCGGCAATAACCAGTACACTTCTGTCGTTTCAGAGGAATTAGTCAAAGTAAGTAATTCAACCCAACAATAATATTGAACCCAGATCCACATTTTTGCCAGTTCATGGCAATTTTTGTGGTCCACCCATATTAAAACCTAGACACGACATTAACTGCTTGTACGTTGTGAATTCTGTGAGCAAAATGGGCTGCGTCACGTGGCCTGGCGCGATGCACGATTTATAATGTGGCTTCGATTTACACGCATGCTTCATACGTACATGTATACCACGAATGTTCAGGCCAGCGCCAATGCACTTGTGCACCACTTAGTTATTTGTTTCCCGCATGCGTACGGGACCAAAAGAGTCAAAATAACGCGTGAGACCGCTCTCTTGTGTGACGCCTTCGCGTAATACGCGTAGCATTTTGCTCACAGGCGCAATAGCTAATGTCGTGTCTAGGTTTTATTATATGCCTATGAGTCCACCACAGCAGACTAGGCAATATTTTTATTATTTTTTTTTTTAATTTAAAATATTTGTATTGTAGCAGAAAGAAAGCTGCCTATCCAGCAAGCCTGACCCCAAGTTGATGGAGAAACTGCAGGCTGCATTGGGTGAGGCAGATGTCAATAACAACTCGGCCGTAGCTGCACGGACAAAAGACGACCACAAGACGGAAGATGAAGACGACCGAATCTCACCGTGCATTATCGCTACAGAGGACAGTTGGTAATGTTGATTGTCTACAATTGAGTATCAATTCGGTTTGCGTTAACACCATGTGGTAATGACTACTGCTCAGTGGATATCTACAGGCATGCTACTTTTCCTCGGATCTGCTGATTTTCTCGTTTTTTTACAAACTCATGAATGCCATTAAATTTGAAAAACACTGTACAAAGTATTATAAGATGGAATTTTCACCCGAGTGATTTCTTTCCAACTTTCATTCGGGAGGTAACACACTGAGTATACAATGTTTAAACGTTGGTGAAGGGCAAAACCCAATTTGACTGTACAAAGTCTTTTGTGGTTAGGAGCTTTCTCATTTTTTCCAAATTCCCAGTTGCATGCCTGTATTTAGTTCTGATAAGAACTTGTCCAGCTTATTATCAACTTTCGCTAAGTAGTTTTAGTTCTGATAAGAACATGCCTGCTTTAAGTTGTAAAAGAACTTGTCTTTGGTTTCAATGTTTCGACTAGCCTGCTCTAGTCATCGTCAGGAGACTGAAGAGAGTTGGAGATGCTACTCCTTATTAAAGTAGGCTGTGTTAGGATTGGGACTGCTTACGTTGGTAGATTCTGATTGGTTGTCTGTTGGGCATTGTGTGGGAGTGGGATGCCCTGCTCGCTCGAGCGTGTCAGTTGGCTGTGAGCCCTGGGCATTGTGTTGGACTGGGATGCCTGCTGAGTGTCCTGCTCGCTCAGGTGTGTCAGTTGGCTGTCAGCCCTGGGCATTGTGTTGGACTGGGATGCCCGCTGAGTGTCCTGCTCGCTCAGGTGTGTCAGTTGGCTGTCAGCCCTGGGCATTGTGTTGGACTTTGATGCCCGCTGAGTGTCCTGCTCGCTCAGGTGTGTCAGTTGGCTGTCAGCCCTGGGCATTGTGTTGGACTGGGATGCCTGCTGAGTGTCCTGCTCGCTCAGGTGTGTCAGTTGGCTGTGAGCCATGAGTGTTGCAACTTGGTACAAGTACATGTCATCACAAGTCAATCAGAAAGCATCACAAGTCCATCACAAGTCATCACAAATCATAACAAGTTAATCACAAGTCATCACAAAGACAAGTCATCCATTTTCTAGTCAAGTCACAAGTTTTTCAAAATGAAATGTGACAAAAACTTTCCTTTGCCCCGGAGGTTGCAGGTTCAATCCCCTCTCCATTCAATAAGCCATTTGCGAGTTAAATTTGAATAAAATCTGGAACGCTGACTTAATCCAATGCTTAAGTTTGCATTCTCCCGACCAAAGAGACTGTTACTATATCACGTGATTCAGAACAAGCCTGACGCGAGCAACCCCCAGCTCCGATATGGTCTGGTGTCTTTGTGCCATTCTCACCCATTGTGAACAATGTATTGGTGCTGAGCGTCTCTTACGTAACTATGCAAGAGCTTGCCCTGAATCATGTGATTAGCAACAGTGTCTTTGGTCTGGAGAATTCAAAGTTAAAATGTGCCCAGCATTCTGAGCAAGTCAGTGTACCAGATGTTTTTTTTAATTTAAATCGCAAAGAGTATAGGTCACTTGCAAATGGCTTATATCTTTCTTCAACTTCAAAATAATTGAAAACATGAAAACCTCTTTCTTCTTGCCTTGCAGTTTGGATGGTATCCTGAAACTCAACTCCTCCAACTTGCCCTCTGTTAAAAGAGACTCTGTCAAAGGTGTTCGCTTCAGCCCCCGCAGATCAGGCGACAGGGCTACTCTACGAAAGCTGGAGAACATCAAACCGCTTAACACGCCAAGCGGACGCAGAATCATCAGCAAGTATGTGTCATTGTTTTCAATCTTTCCCGCCCACCTTTGACCACAAGCCACGCCCACCTTTGGCCATAAGCCATGCCCACCTTTAGCCATAAGCCCCACCAACCTTTGTCCATATGCCACACCCGCCTTTGGCCATAAGCCCCACCAAACTTTGGTCTTGAGCCTCGCCCATCTTTGACATTAAGCTCTGCCCACTTTTTGCCTTTAGCCCCGCCCACCTTTGGCCATAAGCCCCGCCCACCTTGTGTCCGTGTACATTTCTCACAGTGCTTGTGGCCAAGTTTGACTACTGTGGTGGTCACCTGACTAAAAGTCATGATCTGATTGGTCAATGCGTATTGGGTTTATCATTGAAATTGTTTTAATGAATCTTTATTTTCATTGTTCCTGGTAATGAAACCAAGGGTTCTTCACAAAGCAGAAAATAGGCCGTAGTGAATTTATGTGGAAAACTAAATCATGACTTATCTCCATTTCCTTCTCAGATCAGCTAAGGTTCAGCATTCCTTCAAGACGTTCCACACCCCAACACCTCTCAGGAGATCACAGGTAAAGAAAAAAAGGAAAAATCCAAACAACTGAGAGTTTCCAAAACTAGTATTCTAGTCAAGTCTGTTACATGTTCAGTCACAAAGAGAGTACAAATCAGTTTTGGTCACAAGTTAGAGTGGATGAACAGTAACCAAAGAACGTTTTTATCTCTTGTCATCTGAATAGCATTTTGTGACTTGACTTGGGACTGAAGGAGTTGTGAGGAGTTTTCAGGACTTGTGAGGACTTTTAAAGGTCTTGTGAGGACATATGGGGTCTTGTGAGGACATATGGGGACTTGTGAGGACATATGGGAACTTGTGAGGACATATGGGGACTTATGAGGACATATGGGGACTTGTCAGGACATATGGGGACTTATGAGGACATATGGGGACTTGAGAGGACATATGGGGACTTGTGAGGACATATGGGGACTTGTCAGGACATATGGGGACTTGTCAGGACATATGGGGACTTACGAGGACATATGGGGACTTGAGAGGACATATGGGGACTTGTGAGGACATATGGGGACTTGTGAGGACATATGGGGACTTGTCAGGACATATGGGGACTTATGAGGACATATGGGGACTTGAGAGGACATATGGGGACTTGTGAGGACACATGGGGACTTGTGAGGACTTGTTTGATAACAAGTTTTGCGGACTTGTGAGGACTTGTGATGGGCTTAAGTACCCTCCAGGGTATTTTGGCAAGAAACCCTGCCAAACACAGCAACATGCAACACTTGTCTAAGTGACAAGCCTGCCCATTGCAGCAAGATCCATCAGGTCAAAAGTCTCAAAGTCTCAGAGTCTGTGGTCACCGACTGTAGCAGGATACAACTGTGGCATTGTTCAATGAGACTAGCTCTCATTGTCTCTGAAGCGACCGTTTATGCACTGGTGTTGGTAGCTGAATGCATCAAAGTGCACCAGACTTTTCCATCTGATGCACTGTGTTGTATCTGGCTGGGTTGGGACAACGTCCGAAAACACCCAGTAAGCGGATGACAATTTCACAAGATTTATTGAATGAGTTGTGTCACATTTGTTTTGCAGATGTCTCGCTTGAATTCCAGTCCTCAGTTCTCTAGCCCCGAGATTGAGCTGCAGCCCATGAAACTCAGAGCTCACATGAGAAAATTCACCCAGGAGTAGAGGATCTTAATACCTGTTCACACAAGCTGCAGCCCATGAAACTCAGAGCTCACATGAGAAAAGTTACCCAGGAGTAGATGATCTTACCTGTTCACACAAGCTGCAGACCATGAAACTCAGAGCTCACATGAGAAAAGTTACCCAGGAGTAGATGATCTTACCTGTTCACACAAGCTGCAGACCATGAAACTCAGAGCTCACATGAGAAAAGTTACCCAGGAGTAGATGATCTTACCTGTTCACACAAGCTGCAGCCCATGAAACTCAGAGCTCACATGAGAAAAGTTACCCAGGAGTAGATGATCTTACCTGTTCACACAAGCTGCAGACCATGAAACTCGGAGCTCAAATGAGAAAAGTTACCAGGAGTAGAGGATCTTACCTGTTCACGTAAGCTGCAGCCCATGAAACTCAGAGCTTACATGAGAAAAGTTACCCAGGAGTAGAGGATCTTACCTGTTCACACAAGCTGCAGACCACGAAACTCAGAGCTCACAGCAGAAAAGGTACTCAGGAGTAGAGGATCTTACCTGTTCACACAAGCTGCAGCCCATGAAAATCAGAGCTCACATGAGAAAAGTTACCCAGGAGTAGATGATCTTACCTGTTCACATAAGCTGCAGCCCATGAAACTCAAAGCTCACAGGAGAAAAATTACCTGGAGTAGAGGATCTAATACCTGCTCACATAAGCTGCAGCCCATGCAACTCGGAGCTCACAGGAGAAAAGTTACACAGGAGTAGAGGATTGTACCTGTTCACACAAGCTGCAGACCATGAAACTCAGAGCTCACATGAGAAAAGTTACCAGGAGTAGAGGATCATACCTGTTCACACAAGCTGCGAACCATGAAACTCAGAGCTCACAGGAGAAAAGTTACCAGGAGTAGGAGGATCTTACCTGTTCACACAAGCTGCAGCCCATGAAACTCAGAGCTCACTGTAGAAAAGTTACCCAGGAGTAGAGGATTTTCAGATGTATTGATTTGTGTAATCTTTGATATGTCCACTACACTTGTTATACAGAAATAGTATAAAATTAGTGAAATAATACAGTTTTTCAGAAAAAAAAAATTGGCATCCTTCATTTTTACAAATACAAAACTTTAAAGGCCTTTTGCTCAATATTTTACTTTTTCTGACATACATAAATGCGAACTTTAAACAGCCATAACTTGTCAACAGAATGTCCAACTGAAGTGCAACAAACAGTACTGTAAGGAGAGTTTTATTCTCTTTCCTAATACCCACAAACCCTCACTTGGACCTCTGCCCAGTTCTGTCTCATATTGCCAGGATGCCTCTCACATATTTGTATAGGAAAAAATAATTTGGGATTTTCAAAGTCCCTTTAAAAGACAAACACACATTCATTTTGCTTTTTAATTAGGTTTTGTTACAAAAGGATTGCAGCTTTTCTTTTAATTCCTGTTCATCTGTTCAATTTGTTTGTTTCGTTTTCCAAAAGCTGTAGCAGGTTGAAATAAAGACAACATGTACTCCAAAAAAAGAAAGAAAAAAGATTCAAATGCCACATATCTAACAACGGTTTACCTTAAATTAGTGGTGCACAGTGGTAAGTCATTGAACCTATGAATTCATTTCATTTCATCACTGATCCATGATTTAATAAACTAAACAAATTCCAGTTGACATTTGTGTTGGAGCTTTACACATCACACAAAATGTTTATTTTAATGAGATGCTGAAATAATAAGACTGTTAAGACCTAATTACCTTCACAAGAATTTCTTCCTTTTTTTACTAATTGTAGAAATCACTAAATTAGTTTGATCTATCAAAATACTGGATTTTTTTAAATGCCACATTTCACTCATTTTCGTCCAAGAGTAACAGTTATTTCCAAGCCAGAAGTAAAAAAAAACAGGAAAAAGCTTTTTCCAATTAAAATTTTCGAAGTAAACTTTGTCATCATTTAAACATGGTCCATGCACATGTAAATGCTTTGGATATGTATCACTAACAAAAATCATGGTGGCTGGAACAATGGAATTCAAATAAAACGTTGGGAAACACCAAAAAATAAAGCAACTACTTTGTGTATCCCTTCATTTCATTGTCTCATTTTTTTCAATGTTTTGTTTTATTGTTTGAAATTATTGTGCCAATTAATGTAAAACCCAAATGACACCTTTTTTTTAAACATATCCACAGATTATAATTCACAAAACTCTTGTATTCAACTTACTTCATCCTATCCCCTATATACATGTAAACTCTTTGATTTTAAATTTGATGTTCTTGAAATTGTCCTGAAGTCGTCTGCGCTTGGGCTATTTATCCAGATTTCGAGTTTCAAATGAACCACAATTAAAGGGAAACTTACCTGAACGGTAATCCGGAGGTGGCAGGTTCAAGCCCTGCTTCAGTCAATTTGTTTGTTAGACTGTTCAAAATATCCAAAAATGGGTTCAAATTTACTGGGTGAAGTTGAATTTCTGCAAAGTTTACAAGAGTGCTTCTTTTAATTTAGGTTGCAGATCGGTAAACAGTCCTAAAAACGAAGGGTGAATAACAAACGATGGCTTGTATTGGAGAAATTTTGATGAAATTGGATACAAAAGCCGGCCTCAGATTTGCTGTGAAGTGGAGAGGTTTGTTTCTTATAATAGTGTTTGGCTTTTATCATCCTAGGAGGGAAACATCTACATGTATACATTGTATTCATCAAATTCTCCCCACAACAAGACAAGGCAAACCTAAGTGGTCCCAGAGTTGGCACAGCATTCTATTCAATCGATTCAGAATGGTTATTCACTGGAACTCGTACATCTGGTCTAACAATAGGCCAGATTAAGCCCAATTATTGGCGTTAAGGTGTAGTCGTAATCCTATACGATAGCACTGCCCAGCTCTCTTCAAGAGAACAAATAGGACATTACAGGCTGACCCTCTGTTACCTTCAAACATTTCAAGAAGTGTACATCCAGCTTTAAGTTGGTACATGTTAATGTGTCCTTTGAAAAGCTGTACTTTCCCCGATTCGGGGGAGTGAGGCTGTTTTAAGGCAGAGTGGCGGCGCCAAATTCTGTACGCGATCATGTCAATTGCTTGTATGTAGGGCCCATGTATTGATTCATTTATTTATTTATTTAAGTATTTATTTGATTATTACTCTGCGGCCGTGGAATTAACCCGCCAAAGGGGAGGGGCCGGGGGCTCACGCGTGCAACTTAAATCGCTCCCTTCTGCCTATGCGACAGCACAGGAGATCACTCCTGTAAAGCCTGCTTCCATCTGAAATTACTAGCCAGGAACTCGAAAAAGTAACGTATTCGTGTCTTGTGGAGCCCCTCCCGCCTCTGAGTCACGATAGCCTTCGCATCATGGCATTTGCAAACGGGAACTCAAGATAAACACATTGTATTGCAATGAAATTTCCTGTAATATTTTGCCATGGTATTCGACACGAAAATCTAGAAAACTGACAGGAACCGCCGAAGAATGAATATAATTATAATTTAAGGAAATTGCAGTACGAAGGGCACTCCGTATTTTATCTTCATGCACCAATTTCTTACAGAAGAGGGCGTGCTACACAAACACTACTCTACGCGCTTCCGACGTCTGGCCGTTCGAGAGGTAAACACAGTTATTGTGACAACGGGAACTCAAGATAAACACATTGTATTGCAATGAAATTTCCTGTAATATTTTGCCATGGTATTTGATGAGAAAATCTGGAAAATTTACAGGAACCGCCGAAGAATGAATATAATACATATTAAGAAAATAGCAGTATGAAGAAACGATATTCCTGCTGGACAAACTATCTCAAAAATTAAGTAATGCATTGATTTGAAAAGTTACCCAGGAGTAGAGGATCTTACCTGTTCACACTGCAGCCCATGAAACTCAGAGCTCACATGAGAAAAGTTACCTGGAGTAGAGGATTTTCAGAGGTATTGATTTGTGTAATCTTTGATATGTCCACTACACTTGTTATACAGAAATAGTATAAAATTAGTGAAATAATACAGTTTTTCAGAAAAAACAATAGGCATCCTCATTTTTACAAATACAAAACTTTAAAGGCCTTTTGCTCGATAATTTAAGGAAATTGCAGTACGAAGGGCACTCCGTATTTTATCTTCATGCACCAATTTCTTACAGAAGAGGGCGTGCTACACAAACACTACTCTACGCGCTCCGACGTCTGGCCGTTCGAGAGGTAAACACTGTTATTGTGACAACGGGAACTCAAGATAAACACATTGTATTGCAATGAAATTTCCTGTAATATTTTGCCATGGTATTTGACACGAAAATCTAGAAAATTTACAGGAACCGCCGAAGAATGAATATAATACATATTAAGGAAATAGCAGTATGAAGAAACGATATTCCTGCTGGACACGGTATCTCAAAAATTAAGTAATGCATTGATTTGAACGTCGGCCAGATGATTTATCATGCAAAATAGACAAACTAGACAGAAGATTGAGACAAAATATTGTTTTTCTCTCCCTCAACAGTGTCTTGTGTCAACACGGAGAAAAACTTGGCGATAGGATGCAGTCCCAGGCCAAGCAGAACATTTTCCTCACGTTTTGCAAAGAAACGATAGGCCTGCTGGACAAGCTATCTCAAACGTTTAGTAATGTATTGAATTGAATGGCGGCCAGATGATTGGTCATGAAAAATAGACAAACAAGACAGAAGATTGAGACAAAATATTGTTTTTCTCTCCCTCAACAGTGTCTTCTGCCAACACGGAGAAAACTTTGGCGATATGCTGCAGTCGCAGTCCAAACAGAACATTTTCCTCACTTTTTGCAAAGAACCGATAGGCCTCCTGGACACGGTATCTCAAAAATTAAGTAATGCATTGATTTGAACGGTGGCCAGATGATTTATCATGAAAAATAGACAAACAAGACAGAAGATTGAGACAAAATATTGTTTTTCTCTCCCTCATGCCTTGTGCCAACACGGAGAAAAACTTGGCGATAGGATGCAGTCGCAGTAAACAGAACACATTC